CCCACCACAACACAGGAAATCAGTCAAGGTGAGGTAAAGTTACTTGTTAGCATGTGTAAGAGACTTGTTGGAATGTGTAAGAGATTGATTACACAGGCATGAGTTTTTCCTGTGTTGCAACATGATACACACACTATCTAAGCCAACAAGGAAGACACACACATCTCTGCTAGTATGGATTACAACATGCAGCTTTATCATTAGTGGTTCATCCATATTATGAGCACACGGAACAAGCTTAAATGCAAGATAAAGTTTTTCTTCACGTTCATTCACTAACTAATTTTGTAAATTTTTTTTTGGGGGGGGGAAGAAGATAAAATTGAAAACATTCTGAACAACGACATTCATGCCAAGTAATTGCATTTAAAGGACGGCTTTACTGAAAATGGACGTACAGCTTCGACATAATCGACAAGGATTATAACACAGTGAGCATTTCTACAATCCGTGCTTTCTTTGTTAATTTGGAAGCATTGCCACTGTCCCCATCTGAACTGTCTGTCTCAGCAAACACTTCATGTAAGAACATTTCAAGACTAGTACCTTCACATTCTTGGGGTTCCTGAGTGGATGAAGCCTTGCTGTTACACTCCTCCCTCTGTAAGTCCCTCTCCAGGTCTCGGTGTGGCATCTCTTCCAGGTTTACATCGAAGTCGACCCTTGCTGCACTGTCCTCCTTTGTGGTCGTCTGCACATCTGAGGCAGGCTTGGGCTTGGGCTGTCCCAGGCGCATGCAGGGTCTGAGGAGGGTGAGAAGAACCGGCAGGAAGAGTATGCCGTGCAGGAGTCCCAAGGTCATGACCAGGAACATGGTCTTAAAGAAACTGCGAAATATGTAGGCCGGGGAGTTGGCAATTGCGATGATGCCCAGGACGGTGGAGGCTGCCCCCTGGAGGATGGGCATGCCGAGGCTGTGCAAGGCAAAGATGGCCGCCTGGTTGCCCGTCCGGCAAGGCGCCGTGACAAAGGAGTAGGTGATGTGGGCCGAGAAGTCCACACTGAAGCCGATGCAGAGGATGATGTTGATCATGGAGACGCCATCCATGCTGACCCCCCACAGGGACATAAGCCCGATGACGCCCAGCTCGATGGAGATGACACAGACAGTGATCATGGCCGCCGAGATAGGGTGGGGGATGAAGACCAGGGAGATGATGCACATGGAGACGGTGGCGATGATGAGATTCTGCATGGTATTGGGGAGAACAACCAGGTACTGCTCAAAGAATTCAAACGGCGGGGATGATATGAAGAGCGGGAGGGAAGCGTTGTCCGCAATCGCCCTGACGGCCAGCATCAACTCACTCTCCCCCTTGGTTGTCGTTAAGTTTCCTGGCAGAAAGATCAAACGTGAGGCAGAGATTGCATTCTGACCGGATATGTTTTCGAATTTAACATCCAGGACAAAATGTTCAAATAGGGGGTTTGTCAAGAAGTCTTCTTGAAGTATTGCCAGAAACCGCTGCTGGTCTAACCCTGTAGCGTTTTCTGAGTCGTAGATGTTCTCCATCTCCAGATACTCTAGATATTTTCTCAGCCACGAATCGGAGAATCTTGAATCATAGATGTGGTTGACAGACTCAAAGGTCCTGGTAACATTCTCAATTTCCTCTTGTATGTCCTCTTCCCAATATGCCACTGGTTCATTAATGACCACAGAGATCGGAGCGGCAAATGCGGTAAAATATTCAGCTCGCTCGCTCATGTAATGATGGGCGTATGAATCATCAGAAAAAATATCCTTATACTGCATCCCTTCTGTCAAGGACAAACATCCAAAAATGGCTGCACCAACGTACAAACCATACAAGATAACTGTTATAATCTTAGCACTGGGCGAGGTGATAAATGGACCATAGTAATCCCTGAAGAAACCCATTATGGCGTGGTCGTCGGGCTCCCCTGTAGGTGACTGTTTGGACACGCCTCCAGAACAAAAGAGGCGGTAAAACTCTGAGGGCGCCTCGTCCTTGGGCAAGACTGGTTTGAGGGTGGTGCAGTGTTTCCGCTTGGCCTCTCTTCGACCCGTGTAAACCATGCAAGCTCCGAAGAATGAGATCTACACAGAACAAATTGAGGTATTCACATGTAAAGTACAATTATCAGCTTGGTTTTGTTACGAGTTGGAGGGTGTGATGGGAGAGGCAGAGCTCATGTGGGGGGGGGAGGCAGGGTTGGCTGATTTAAATCACCGATTTAAATCGTGATTTAAATCAAATGAATTTAAATAAATAATTTAATGCCAAACAACTCATGTAGGTATCGTTTGTAGCTATTGTTTGACATGCGCAAGGGTTTATCCACCATGAACACGGGGCGAGGGTTCCCCTCATTTTCTCTGTTTTCTCCGAATGACGCAATCTACATTCAGAATTCACATCTTGACATGAACAGAAAAACAACCCTTTTAAGCTTGCTATACTTGAGCTCTGAAGACAAATGACACTCGATTCCACTTGGATGCTTACATATTTATTAGAACTGACAAAATGAGAGAAAACATGTTTTCCTTTGAGTAGCCCTTTAATCGAATTACTTGATTTAAATTTCTTAATCAAAATCCCAATTTGTTTTCTTTTGTAAAAAAAAACAAATAAATGAAAGAAAATTGTCACACATGCAGCTAATTTTCTTGCTTTTGAACAGATAATTGAGCCAACTTGTCTTCATTTTTTGGAAAAATTAAAAAATCTGATTTAAAACAAAAAATCTGATTTTAATTTTAAAAAAGAATCAAAATCAAATACAAAAATCACAAACCCTGGTTGTCCCCCGGGGAGGTTGAGGCTGGGGAAGGACAGGGACAATTATTTTTGGCGCAGTGTGTTCATTTGACGAATGCTTACACAACAAACGTGGTACGTATGCGCAAAGGATGAACCAACAAGCGACACTCACAGGGCACAAAATAATTATGACAAGTACTTTTCCAAACACCGATACCTGGCTCTGAGGGTACTGGTTTGCTCCGCATGGAGTGTGACCGCCAGACAATTGCTGAATTGCGAATGTCGCAATGTTCCCCCCCCCTCACTATTCCCTACCCTGATGCAGTATATCACTTCTGCAAAAATGCGGTAAGCTTTTGTGCCTTGAGCTGACATTTTGGCCGAAAGCGCTACATACAGGTACATGCATTACTCATTGATTGAAAGTGACTTGACATAAACCCTGGTCCTCCAATAGTCACGTTTCATGGCAGCCCCATGCTTTGCCGTAGAAATACTACCGCAGCAGAGATCAGCAACACACTTCAAGGACCACCAAGCTAATCATATGATATGCAAATTACAACCTTCAATTCACTCTATCTTAAGTCTTTGCTGATATGGTGCGGAATCTTGAAAAGCTCTGTTTGGACAATGAGGGGGGGGCATGAGCCAGGTTGGTACACGTACATGTAGTTCAAAGGGCAACAGTCAATTAAGGACAAAACGTGTGCAAGGGAAAGGACACATTGATAAGATTGACCTTGCACTCGCCTACTGCCCCTTCCAAATGACCTCGAACATGCTTCATCTTTCGCATATGCTGTTAGAATACAGAAACTGTTCCCAAACTTTTATCTGGCTGAACATGGGCTGACTCCCTCAAGAATATAGCGAGAAAGAAAAGCACTCAGCACCGCTAGTGGCCAGAGGCCAATCTGTATGGCTCCCACAAAGAGCAAACAGGGTGGCAATCTCTGTATTGGAACTCTGAAGTCAGCTTTGCCGGACAGAAAAGAGCCAGGCAAGTGGGGGAGCCATGCCCTCCAGTAGAAAAAGTGGAGAGGGAGAGGCCACTGGCCCCCCCCCTTCCACTGCCAGTGCCGGGCATTCTTCCCAGAGCCTTACCTGGTACAGGTAATCAAAGATGATGGCCATTCCACTGTAGAGGCAGAACACCCTGATGGCTGGTAGTCTGGTGATGGAACCAATGCCAAAGGCCAGGGCATCGGTGATGCTGGTTATGGTGATGGACACAGCGGCCTCCGCGTACGTTTGGCCCAGCCGCTCCTCTATGGAGAGCTTGATAGAGGTCTTCCGCCATGCGGCCAGCATGATGAACATGTCATCAATGCCGATGCCTGTCGTAAACACAATGTACAATGAAAATGAACAGAATGAATGAAGTGAGGACTGCTAAAATGAGTTGCCTGGGCCCTGGTGACTTGTGCAAGAACAGTGTACAAAAACAAATTTTAGCTTCCAAGAATAGAATAGAACAGATCTAGCCTGGGGTTGTAAATTTCACAACAAAATGCTGAAACTAATTGGCTTTTGAAAGCCATGTTTGATTCAATATTTCGTTCTTTATTCAGAACATCTTCATCTTTCCTGAAGATGTTCTGAATAAAGAACGAAATATTGAATCAAACATGGCTTTCATTAGTCTTTATGGAGTCTGCATAATATTAATTGGCTTTTTATAGCTGATAAGGGTGTGGTTTCCTATAAATGGATATTCTTACATAATTTGTTCACTTTTGGTTCAATAAATACACGTGTATATATGTTAACATTAAAATGCCAAGATTACCGTAGCAAACCTGTAATATTACTCAGAGTGTCTAATTCCAGAATTTTAGAGGTCGAAAATCCTGAAATCAGGAAAAATCTTGAGAACATACATGTCCCTAATGTCACCAAGAGCGGGACAATCTGCATTGTTTCCTGAATTTTAAACATGTTTTGTTGGACTCACCTATTGCTAGAAATGGCATGGATGCAGAAACCTCATTAAAGGGCAGGCCGCAGAATGACAGCAGGCCCATTGAGGACGCTATGGCCAGCATAGCCGATATAACCCCAAACTGTCCCAGCCAGGGTTTACTGAACACCCAGTCCATCATCATGCACGATCCCACGGCAAAGCCGATCAAGAGGCTAAAGGTGATGCAAAACCGGGGCATGACGCGGGTTGCCATGGCGATGAGCTCATCTGACAGCGTCGTGGAAGCAAATACTGACACTTCAATGTGCAGGTAACCACTGAAGAGTGTCAGGAAGGTCTCTAGGAATGCTCTTTCCCACTCCTCTGCCAGGATACGTTCCTCTTCTGTTCCCGATCGCAGAAAATACATGATGTTTAACGCCTTGGCCGACCTGATGACGTCAGAGTTTTCGTACAGGACGACACCCCCTAACGATGCACCAATATTGATGCTGATGTTCTGTGGCCCAGTGGGGATGAGAAAGCTCAAATCAGGAATGCCATCTTGTTGAAAAGCCAACTGATCGACACTTCCAAATGGAAGGCCCTCCATGAAGTCAAAGGAAATATCAGTTGAAGATACTGGGAGGTCTATGAGATCAATGTAAGAAAATGGATAAGTGAGGTTCATGGAAGTCACACTCTTTGAGGAGTAGTTCAGAAGTTTCAAAACTGGGTCTTCCAGACACTGATCGTGGGTGAAGTGACAGCAAATGTCGGCATAGGTTATGCTGCTATTTGAGCCGGGTGCTTGGATCTCCAAGGATCTGAGTGTGTTGTCTAGGTGAATGATCTCGGCCATGACTTCCTCCCTCAGAATGTTGCTCCCATCTCTGGTCGTAATCACCACACTGCCGCCAAACTCTTGAGTGGTCAGGACACGGTTGGGGAGAAACTTCTCATAGTTGACCGGAAACAATGCCGCCATCTCTGCCAGCTCGTCGCGAGCCCGGCTATTGTCTGGTGTGAAGAGGTAAGCCGCATCTGTTTCAATTGTCAGGAATATCATCCCGGAACTCAGGCAACCCGCGACAATGAGTGGCACAATGAGAAATATGGCCGGGCGTCGTGCAATCAAACGGCCATAGCGGTAGAACTGTCGACTGATCACTTGGTTGAAACAGTCAAACTTTGCCATGTTTTTTCTTTTTTAAATTTCAAAAGTCAAAATTAACATTCCACTAGAATCAGTTCACCACGCACAGCGTCACTTCTGACATACCGGTAGACTGATGTTGAGGATCTGAACTGGTCAAAGAATATCACAAACTGTAAGAGCCTTTAGTACAAAATAAAATGTATTCACGATGAAGACAGACATTTCTACAAAATATCATCTTTTCAAACTACCCGCAGTACCTGATTAATAAGGTTGTTTTATCTGGCGTACGATTAACATGAACATGCAATTTGTGAAAACATGTTTTTATGCACACGCAGGCCTAATGGTTATGTATACAGTTTTGAAGGACATCAGTTCCCAAACAAATTAATTATGTTTATAATGGATTAATTCTTGTGAACAAATTTTGCTCATCAGACGTTCCTTTTTTCTTAGCCACGGGACATTTGCTTCTAACGGCACATGCGACTTTGAGACAAGACCAAAAGACGAAACAAGAATCCCTTGAGACAAAGTTCCACAGATCTGACAGAAACTCTGACATCAAGGTTCAAAGTGGGTTAGTCCTACTTGAGCAGCTACTTTTGTGACTCATGACTCGACTTGTAACTATCAGTTTTGGACTTGTGACTTGACTTGGACTCAGTGGCGGCTTAACAATTTTCAAAGTGGGGGGGGGGAGTTGTGAGACCACCAGATATCAGCCATTAATAGGCCGATCCATTAAGCCCTGCAAAAAGTGGGGGTTATGCCCCCATCAAAATTCTCCCCTAGCTCCCCCCCCCACTTCTGTTGCCAGTGCTTGGACTCACAAAGAATGACTTGTGAGTTGACTTGAACTGGCATGTAATTTATGACCAATGCAAGTTAGAAAAGGATCAACTTTATGCCTTGTATTCTTAAAATAATCAGTGCAGACTTCATTTGTTTCGCGACTTCTACTTCAGTCTTGTCTGTCAAAGACCACATCTGAATCACTTGGCTTGAATATGCGCCATCTTGTTCACGGGGCAAAATACACGCGCGCGCGGCTCGCTTAAATTCGCGCACTTGATCTGATGTTCGCCACACTGTTTTTTTGTGTTGGGACCAAATTGACTTGCTTGTGACTTGACGTGTGATCAACTGAATTGAATTAGGACTGGAAATGACTTGTGACTTGGCTTAGCCTTACGAAAACACAGGACAAAACGAAACAAGCCTACCTTCGACATCAGAAACACCGCACACCACCGACCGTTATCCACGGGGCACAGAGGCAGACAGACGGGCCACACTTTACAATTACAACACCTCTGCGCTAAGTGCGAGGAAGTTTTCAAGTGAAATGCAGCAAAAGAGTAATTCTTCTTCCCTGTTTGATGTTCTGATAAACGAACTCTAGTCTTATCGCTCTATTACAAACAGCCTAAGTAAGACCCTGCGTAAACAAATTTAACATAGATTTTATCACATGAATGTTTGCAATTAATTTGATGGGAGCATGACATGATCATGATAAGGTGAAACTGAAGACCGGTCATGACGTTTTTGTGTTGTTGATACGTACGCGAGAGGGCGCTCACAAGACGAAAAGCTAGCTGGCTGGAGGTGTGTACGTGTATAGCTAGCTAGCTTCATCTGAGCTGTGGGTTGCACTGCATCCGAATCTGTCGTCTAGAGCTAGGTCTAGGTCTTCCCTCCATTGGAAATATGGGTAGACAATAGACCTAGCCGTAGCTCTGAAACCCGTTCACGGAGATCAATGGTTGCGCGGCACCATTAACTACGCGCCCATGAAAACATTGCAAAATCAGACCGAAATAGCGCCGCCTGTTGACTTTCGGGAAGAGGTTGGCCTCCGTTTTTTTCAATGGAAATTCAAGATTATGACCAGAAGATCTCTTTTCGTTTCAATTTTATTGGGGTTAGCCACGAAAACAATTTTTATTCGCCTTTTTTCAAAGATACCCGCCCTCCAAAAAATAGTGGTTCCCGTCCCATACGGCGTAGTCTCCAGACCTCTTACAGACGTCCTCCGAACGTGGGGGTGTAGCCTACTAATTCGAGTGAGATTTTCTGGCCAGCAGTCATTAGCATTAAAAGTGCCCCCGCAGTATCTTTTGAAAAAAGAGATTTTATGGCCCCCAAAATGGTGAGACTGTGTAAATCTTTGCCAGGGTCAACTCCCTGGGTCTTTTGGCTTTCATCTGACAGCCGAACGACTAAAAATATGGTTGAAAAATGATCCTAAGTGCCCCGAAGGTTGAGGGTTAATTGGCACTTGAAAAACGGCAGCAAGCAGACTTCGGGGGAAAATCACTTTTAGGGCGGTAATTTGATTTATGGGAATAATTACAAATGTAATCTGATAACCCACAGAAAATAGAGAAAGGAAATTGAAAGATTATGGACCTTATATTAATTTAACGTGTTTCAGAAACCTCAGGGGTGTTGGTACGCAAGTTATTGGGCCCGGAACAATGCCGATGTTACACTGTTTTCAGTGGTGCTTCGATAGTGGACAGTGCACCCAGGCCGTAGGGACCGGCACGTATGTTTACAGAGGGAACTTATTAACTGCGCATGTCCTATTTTAGGGCTATTTGCATACGTAATGCTGACCACGAGAATCAGCCAGTTCGTAAATACATGTACTGCATGTGCGCTACACTTGTACAATAAAACGAATCGCTTCATCACTGTGCGTCCTGAGCGGGCGCCCTCCTGTGACATTCGTTTTTGTTTTGTGGACCGTGGCCCGATCAAAAAAGGTTTTAAGGAAGAACATTATTCCACATGTCGTACTTGGATTAATCAACACTTAATTAATCAATCTTAATTTGTATGAAATTATCTTATAGTTTAAACTCGTACCTATGTAAAATTTCAGTTTTCTTCTCCTTTTTTTCATTTTCATTATTTCTTAAAGATACTGCTTTCCTTAAGGTTTTCCTGGAGTGAGTTCCATACACGAATGTCACTTGACACACTGTGGCTGGTTTGAAAAATCTAAATGTTTTCTAAGAAAAGGTTTCGATTTCCTCACTTGGTTCTGCCCTATTTTTTGTATTTTTTCTATGGTAAGATAAACCTTTATCCTAACATGTTTTGTAAAAATTAAATCTGAGAAATAGTACCTGAGTGGTTAAAACTAGTGATTTTTGTGAAAAGCTCTTTTGGTAACCGGTAGTTTGTTTACGTTTTGATGCGACTTTCGAAGGCTCGAAACAAAGAATTCGAAGTTTTCCTGAAGTTTTCAAAAGTGGGCTGTGGCGGAGAAAGGTGTGAAGGTTTTAGCTTTGCTGACGGTTTTCCGCTAGATTTTTTGCTCTTCCCGATCAGACACGTTAGCATATCACCGATTCCGTTTATCCGTGATTTTACGGCCTTGCAAGCGCAAGAATTCAGTGACTCAGGAACGAAAGACTAACACAAAAATACAGTAAGTTAACATGAAGTTTATTATTGAAACCGAGGTCTATCTGTGATTATAACATTGCTAGGAAATGTTGAACTTCGCGGTATATTTCCCCAGTTTTACAATGTACTATACGTGCATGAACCACATGATAAACATTTTTGTACAGGGGCTCTGACGCATTAAATGTACCGTTACATGTACGGTACGGTCCGCGTGTAGGCTGCGCTTCTTGGGGATAGTGCTGGATCGGTTAATTTTGTGTATGTAAAACATGCTGCTCAGATGAATCTAAAATATAATTTGTAAAAGTCAAACACAAAAATCCAGCTGGATAAAACTTATTGTATTGTGTAGTTGAGATTCTGGCTAGTCGTCAGTGTCTCATTGTTCTGGGAAAACCTCTAAAATGAGAAATATAGTGGCAAAAGACCAAGAGATCGATTGGCAATATTTTATCATCTCAGCAACCACCTTGAGGCCACTCAAATTTCATGTTTTTATATAGCATCATTCTTTTCACGAGTCTGTGGTGTTTTATTTGGTTCTAGAGCACATACAAAGAATTTCAATCAGTGATGGTTTGTTAATTTTGTGCAAACAAAGTCTTCAAAATGAGAAGGCTCAACAGAGGGGGCCTATTATTAGTTTCATCCACTTATCACGACACACCTGCAACCGTCCGGCTTATGGAGTTTGTTTTCTGAGTAAGGAAGGAAGAACGAGAAGGACTGACAAGTTCAAGTTGCTCAGCTGAGGACAATTCCGTATGATTCACCAGGGTCTGGTCAAGTAACCGCCGCGAACGGTCAAAGTCGTTCATTTCCACACGTCGAATGGGAGTGCTGATAGCATATCTTACTTTTTCTCCTTCGCTACCGAACAAAGGCACCATAAATTGTTCATTTTCTCACAATTTCCAATGTGCAATTTCCAAAAACATGGTCAGCGCAGTTCAGACAGCATTAACTTTTTTTTGGGGGGGGGCAATAACCAGCTTTGCACAGATTAAAATGACTCAAACTTGGGGTCCCTAAATTCACAATCCGCCAGATCTCAAATTTCTCTTTGAAATCTGCACTTTGCCTTGTTCAACCCCAAACACAACAACTGAATACCATTTCTCTCGGTTTCGGCTATGACCAGGTTCAATGCCAATGGTAAGCTATGTGAGTACATGTACCGTACCCTGTACGTACAGTACATGTATGCTACATTGAGCATCAGTACGCTCCGAGTTTACAAAGGCACAGGTTGGCTCCAAGAACACTGATGATGTAATTTATACTATTTACGACGGAAGGGGCCATACTAAGAAACGGCGGTCTCGCTCGCAGGAAAAATCACGATTATAAAGTCTTTTTACAGAGTACTAAAATCCGGCTTACATTAGAAACTAATGGCGGAAATGATTTAATGGGATTTTCTGGAGAAAAAAACCGTACAAAGCCAGAAAACCTGAGAGAAATTAAATAATTCTCTAAGTCGCACCTCTGTATATTTTCAATGGCCCGCTCACACTTCTTGCCGCCAAGGCCATTTGGCGCATGCTTGCATAATTATGAATTTACTAGTGAAAAGGTCCCCCATTTCGATTTATCTCTAGTACCTCCCACTTACCAAAATATGCTCCCTTTATCACATTACCGGCCCCTGCAATGACGGTCCTGCGATGAGCAGAGCACTGCTGAGCCGAGAGAAGACGCCCCGTTTTGACGATTTGTGATCCTCATCAACATGGATGGGGCCATATCGTATTCTATTCATTAAAAATTACTAAACAAATTATCTTCATAAACTAAGCAGGAAGGGGAAAAATTATCATGACAATAACTTCCATTTATGCACAGTCACGATCTTCAAGTACTATTGTGCACAATTTGGCCCAAACGCTGCGAAGACACACGTCACACGTGTCCATGACGTGTACCCGTATGACGCGAAGTACATGTACATGTGTACACTATGTATGTATGTACATGTACATAGTGCATAATGAGGTCCATGCCGGAATCTCTGTCTTGACCCTGTGCCGGCCTCGCTCCCCGCTGATGTTTCTCCCCCACGCTTGTATTACCACTCACAAAAACGTCTTTCCTTGTTCCCGCCAAGGAGGAGATAGACTGACTGTGTTCCCGACAAGGCAAGGTGGGTAGAGCCTGTCTACTGTCCAAAATAACACCGAATCGAGAGCACGTGGACCACATAGTTTATTAGATGGCCTGTGCTGATCTTACACTATGATCCTTTGGCCTTGCACATGCACAAAGAATGTGCAGTGTTCATGCTGAAAAATGAGTGGTGTAACGTACTAGCTGCAAAGCCAGGGCGACGACCGCCCGTAATGTAGTTAGCAGCGTGTGAGTGGTGTTTGTGCAGCTAGTTTGTGTAATAAAGCGAGCCAGGGAGTAATTTTTGTATCGGAAAGACCGATTCACCATCATTTTGTCGCGTCCATTTTAAAGAAAAATAAATCAGTCGAATTGGAACCCTGCCATGCCATTTAAAACACCCACATGTTAAAATGATTTGTGGTGTCCAAACACACTGTTTCTTTGCTGATATGATGGCATGCACGGGCAAACCTTAACTGTGCATATCAAACGATGTAAGAGACTTCGCAGGTTGTAAAATGTGAAAGCAATCACTGAACCGTGCTCCTACAAGATCACATAGACCAGCTACTGGAAAGGGCTTTCAATTCCTTGATTTGCCACAGAGCAAAACTGAAGCGCACACAAACTCCTTTGTACCCAGAACATGTAGAGATTGGAATAGGCTTCCCGATACAATTGTCTCAACAATTCAGTCACCTCTTTTAGGGATCAGGTTCCTGAGTTTATTGGATCCAGCGATTAGGACTTAAATTAACTTTGTGCTTCTCCCGTGGCTATACATTAGGTTCAGCGAATCTGTTGCTACGTACCGAACTGAAGAAGAACCACTGATTCAAGTAATTGTGATTATGGCGCCACTCTGGTTGTAAACCCCTGTAGCATCGCTAGCATGTGACTGAACTTAAATCACCATCCAGATTTCAGTCGTCATGGTTAGGCTATTTCATTCACAAACAGACTTTGTACATTTTGTTATTCGTTTCACTCACAAACAAGCTTGATCGGGCTCCATTATACCCGATTTAAAACTGCGTGAAAGGAGATTTGTTCTGCAGCTGCAAAATATGTCTTGTTAACCTAGCGTGGATGCCAAGTCTTTGTGGTTTATCCTGAATTAGAGGAAGGTAAAAAGAGAATCTGATGGTAAAGATGGCAACTTTTGTGATTTCGTTGTGCAGTTGAAATTAACCAAAAGAATGACAACCACCCGGCTGCAGAGGACCATAGAGAAAATGTAATTGTCACAATAAAAAATTTATGCATTTATTAAGGATTGTGTGGAACTGATTGGGATCGTATCTGAAGGGCCCAGAGAAAGGATAGACCCCATGAAGTACAGGTACCGAATTTGATGAGGTTATGAATCGATTTGAGGCTCGTGGATAACAGCTATAATTCTTGAACTTGGAAAATATTTTACTGAACAGTACACGCTAGGAAATGTTCACGCTATACTACTTAAATGTTCACTAAATACCCACTTCAATCTACTGGTAAATATACATTTTTTACAGGACGTATTGCTTCATTTCCTATGGGACTTACGGTATGATAGGATATTCATGCATTTCCCTGCGAATTATGTATCTTCAGAGCAGAATCCACATAAGCGGAATTATTTTTTTTTCTCATTTCGTAACGGAGTTGAAAAAAAGTTTCGTAACAATATTCGGGTACGCAGTTACATCAGTAGGCTTAAGTTCATTGACATCGAGGTGTTGTTGGAAAGATTGCAGGTATATTTGGCTTTGTCAAGTATGCACAGACCTACTCTAACATTGCCTCTTTAATTTAAAAGCTGCCTCTATTCCGCACATCTGACTTCTACTGGTATACCACGAGTTTTCCATTATTATCGTGCATGGATGCACGAATCGTCAGCATGATGGACTTAATTGCATTTTCAGTGCTCAATTTGCCTAAGTGTAAATGCACGGAAGCTAATAGGGCTATCTGGGTTGACTTTTTTAAAATCGTGTCTCGGTGTAAAGCTGGAGTTTTCACAGACGGCATTTCTGTCCTCTTCCGAAGTTTGACATTTTGCGACCAGAGGCATACACGTACATATATGGAAGGGGGGGCAGCCAGCATAATTATTGTCCATACAGCGGGACATTTGGCTCAGTGCCTGTCAAGTCATCAACGGCGACAAGTGGCGGTTCAGAGTGGTTGGCCTGGTATATGTCGGCTGTAAGGTTAGGCTGATATGTCAGAGAAAATCTTCAGATCCAAGTCTGTTCTCTGACTTAAACCATGTCCCTCCAAAGGGAACAGAAAGTGTCGATTTGTATGCCTATTAATGCTTTGCGCTATGAGATGAATTCGATCGGCAGTCCAGCTGTGCAAAGCTGGCTTTTCTGGGTCTTACTGTTGACCCTTCGCACTGTTTTGTCACTCAGCATAGGCTAAGTAGATTATCCACTCTCTCTTGCCTCTTACGTATACTCCATCCAAATGAATTTGATACACTTCTCAAAGTTGGACATGGGGCCATTTGAGTAAATTTAGATATGCACGAGAACATCAAAAACAGGTGTTGAGTGATTGCAACAAAAGTCTTAGAGGAATTGTTGGTAAAACTTTAAAAGGAATTTCAAAAAATTAAAACAGGTTCTTAAAATCCCAGCTATGAATTTTTAACAATAGTTAATTTTTTTCATAAACGTCGTGACTTTAAAAAAGGTACACAGAACACGCTATCACGCAGGATCTCCGATATTTTATTAAATGATTCTACTGTGCGTTGCAAAGCTGGAGAGTGGAGAACCCCATTGTTTGGCACACTTCCCGCTGTGTTTATCCGGTTCGTGACTGCGTCACACACATGGACGCGCCGGGAATTGCAGGCTCTCATTGGACGATCGCTGTAGTTGCGCGTTAACTTCCAGTTCTATGGTTCCATCTAAACGGCGCGGCGATCAACGCATGTAACTCTATGTGCAGTGCATTTGCAGTGGGCGTGGTTTAAACTGAAGTGACGTCAGACTTACAAATAGGTTAGATTTCACAGCTCAACACGAACTCTGGAACAACGGAATCACCCAGGCCTTGCAAAACTTGCAAAACCTGCCACCCCCGCTGAAGGTTTTTTTTCCGAAAAATGTTTCGTGAGTAGGAAAGAAAGTAATCGGTATATTAATTTATTCATCTCATAATGAGCAATTAACGTACCCGAAGAAAACAATACAGGAAATAAAAGCAAGGATGTCGGGACCGTGAGGCTTTTTATTTGTTTTCTCCTTGAACATCACGTTGAAGTGAGCCCAAAGCTGCATTCGCTTTTGAACCCCCCCCCCGACACCAACCGACGCCGCTGAAATTCTCCTCCCTTACTGTTCCTGCTCTCACCCAATGAAGATTTCGGCATTATGGCAGTGTCAATTGGTGTAGAACGGTCTTTGAAAAACACCGTGTAAATTATCGAAAATATAAAACCAAACCGCAGTGACATTAAAGAACCTTCAGGTTTACAATGTATAAAACACTATATGGAAGATTGTTGGCCATTTAATTGCTGTGGAACATTAAAATACGCCTGATGCTCCGAAATTCGAATCGAATTACACTTGGTAGACATCGTTTAAGATCACGTTGATAAAATGCCCCAAATGGGTTCCACTGAAACGTAGGGACAAAATTTGTAGACCGACTTAAAATTTTTTCGCTTCATTAAACGGGCAAACGTCGAAGCCTCATATCATGCTGGGCCTCTTACTTTTTGCTGCAGTAATGCTCTGTGCACAGATTTATATTTTTAAAACCTGCTGTGTGTTTTAACTGCCACAAGTTGAGTTTCCAGTGTCTGTTCTGGCCCGGATGGATCCGTGAGGCTCATACATGCAGCTCGTGTATTCCCCATGTACCGCTAATAATACTTTCATGCGTACGTACACTCTAAAAAGGATCAATCAAATCTGACTAGAATTCAGTAAAATTTGACTGGCTCCTCAGGGTCAGCTGGGTGCAACTGGAAATTAGTCAATCTGAGTAGATTTTTTCAGTCAGTTCAGGAATCTTGTCAGAAAGCATGATTTGAGTTTGACTGAATCCGTAGTCAATTTTGAACAACTAGGAAAATCAGTCAGCATTTTGGCTAGGTTGTTTTAAGAGTGTACGAAAGATGAAATGGACGGCTGGATATTCAATCCTCTGTCAAACTTTTAACCATAATTGTATTCCTAGCTCTATGATTAAGCACAGTCACGTTTCCAGAGACCTTACGCAAGATGTCTGCCGGCCGAGTGCCAGCATAAATTCAAAACATTGCTTTACATGTATACACCATATACATGCATAATTTTGTAAGTTGAATACACAAAGGGCCTGGCCGCGGGCTTGTGACTCGATCTCCCAGGCGATTATTATAACAAAAAACCCACCACATTTTGTCAGAGAAACTTGCAAAGGCACTCCAATATCAACAAATTTGTTTCTGTTGCAGCTGGTGGAGTTTTTATTCAGCATTTGGTTGCTGTTTTTTTTATTTTTCTTTTTCTTTTAAATCTGATTTATTGAAGATTTCTTTTTCCTCATCGAGGGCCTGATGAGAATCGACAATTTCTAGCTTGTGTAAGGGCAAATCGAAACGTGAGGCTAATAGCTTATACTTTAGGATTGAACTCTTAAGGTTGGTCGTTTCATCGTAATAGACTAGACCTCAGCGTTTGAATGACGGGAGATTGCCACTTCTAAATAAAGATCTGCGGTCGTACATCGATATCCCGCAAGAATAAACCTGTGGATGTTTATGGGGAAAAATGCAGGAAATTTTTCGGGAGGGGTAATTTATCGCTTATTTAATTTTTACAGCACATTCTTAGGATATGGGTAATATCATAATACAAAAGGCATACATTCATTTTCAAATAAAAATGATATAAAGCATCAGACCCGTTGCACTTGTTTGATTGGGCCTATCATAGTACGGTAGGACTAGTGACAACTCTACTTCCTATTACAAAAGCAGTACCCGTGGCGTGACCTTGTAAATGCATGTATGTCGGATAACACCACGCATGAGTGATGCCATTTAATATGAGTTGAATAATGCTATGAGTTCGGTTATTTAATTCCACTACATTTTATACATTCCTCATTTCAGCTGAAATATTTTTAGGGGTACCATGTCGTCCCTCAACGGAGTACAGAACGGCGTTACCAACAGTGCGGATTGCTGCTGCACTGTGAACCATGTCTTGGTGACAGGAGGGGCAGGCTACATCGGGTCTATTCTGGTACCCCTTCTGCTGGAAGAGGGGTACATCGTCACCGTCTTCGATACCTTCCGTTGGGGAAGTCAGTCACTCTTCGGACCGGTCGCTGCCAACCCAAACCTGAAAGTTGTCCGAGGTGATGTGCATAATGTGGAGGACCTCTCGGAGGCGATGGCCGATTGCGACGCCGTGATTCACTTGGCGGCCATCGTTGGGTACCCAGCCTGCGAGAAGGAACCGAAACTTGCCCGCCAAGTCAACGAAGACGGCACGGCGCACGTGGCGAGGCTCCTACGGCGCAACCAGAAGCTTGTCTACGCGTCAACTGGGTCATGCTACGGAGCTGTGGACGGCGTCTGTACAGAAGAGACCCCCATAAGCCCGCTGACGCTGTATGGAAGCTCAAAGGCAAACGGGGAGAAATCGGTACTGAGTGTGGGTGGAGTAGCTCTCCGCCTGGCCACGGTCTTCGGTACGGCTCCACGCATGCGGATGGATCTCTTGGTCAACGATCTGACGCACCGCGCTGTCAGCCAGAAACATTTCAGTCTCTACCAGGGCAATTTTAGACGTACGTTCATTCACGTCCGAGATGCAGCTTCCGCGTTCGTGTTGGCGCTACGTAACTACGATAAAATGCGGGGCAGGGCGTACAACGTGGGGCACGAATCCATGAATATGACCAAATCAGAGCTGGCCTCACTGATACAGTCCCTGGTTCCCGGCTGCAAAATAACCCAGTCGGAGGATGGAGAGGATCTGGATAAACGCAACTACGAGGTGTCGTACTCGAGACTGCGAGAGTTCGGATTCCGACCGACGATCACTGTCCGAGAGGGTGTCCTTGAACTCCTCAAGACAGTCCCCTTCATGTCCGATGAAGAATTGGATCGAGCTCGGAATGTCGGCCCGTTCAAAGTCCGTATCATGGACAACAACAACATTTGAAAAGCACCTGATATTTAGACCAATTCAAATTACTAAGCTTTCAATTAGATTAGGGGCCTATGCGGAACTTTAATGGGACGTATGTTATCGTGAGGTTTATATATAAAGTATTCGTTTCGTTTACCGTGGCCTGCATAATAAATTGGTATGCTGACGGAAGGACTGAAATGTTGAAATTTTGAATGGCCTATCGCAGTTGTTTCCTCCAGCAAACAACATAAAATATCACCTTTTGGGGGATTTTTGGATTTTTTTGGGTCCAAGACCAAAATGTCTTTGTTATCGATGACCGTTTTACGGGACGTCCGATTTAAGACGATGTTTCCTCTTGCCATTGTGTTTGAAAGCGCAAAAGAAGGTATTTTGTTGCAGTTTATTTAAAGTCAGTTCAACACCTTACAGAGCTAGATTCAGTAAACGCTGCATTGTTTAACAGGGTACTTTGTTGCATGTTTGTGAAAATTACAGAGGCAGACGGGGCTAGAATGTGATAGGTTAAAGCTATAACTAATACATCAAAGAGGTATAAAACGAGAAGTGTGAATAATTGTCGGTTTATGATTAAATTTAAACACCAATATCTTCAATTTCCTGAAGATTGTTTTTTCATGTGCTGGCTTTAATTACCCCAAGATGTCGAAAATTTTCTTACTATATATATGGAAACTTGTTCACTCTAAAATTAAAATTATTGCATGCAGCTCAGTTAAACTGCTATTTAGTTATTTTGTTTTCAACATTAAATTTTTGATATTTAACATTACGGAAGAAATATAATGCTTTGGTGAAGATATACAGGTGTACAGTATTTATATCTAATTTCCGACTTAGTGTAAACAGCGATTTTATTGTGCAAATTGTCACAGCTGATTTTTTTCGATACCCACAAGTAAAGAATTGGGTTTTATTTTGATCCGCATGCTCGGAAAATTATGGTTTTTCAGATGCTCAAAAACCTAAAAATTCCAGTGCACACCATGTTTAGATGGTAGGCCTATGTGAAATAAATGGGGAAAATTGGAACTTTTGTGTGACAGTATGCTCTTTCCTGTAATACTGGGGATTCACAATAGTGCGCCTTCAAGAGTTTGCAATGCATTGACCAATCACAGCACGTCTGTATGTCAACCCTTTCCAAACGCGCATTGGGTCGACAGATTTCACACATTGTGATTGGCCAACGTGTTGCAAACTCTTGGAGGCGCACTATTGTGAAATACCCGTATTGATTTGCATCTTCTTTTCCGAGTATAAATCTACTTTATATTTGTGACATTTTATAGCGCGAACTCAGTGAGCCAGGTGCATGTAGTATGGACGGCTAAGCCTTGACTGAGACCAAATGAAGGTACAGTGCAGCCGGCGTGTGGAACTAGTTTTCCGGGGCTTGGCTTTGCCCTTATAATTTAAACAGTGAAACGCCAAAAGGGAAAGGGCAGTGTAAGCGCATGCAGTGAAACTTTTGGTGTGGGGAGGGTGGGGTTATTCCTGAAAAAACGTCGAAATTGCCCATGGCCCGGGTTAAAATGTGAGGGGAGAAATTATCACTTGGCATGCATTAGCAGCACTAATTGAAATGTGAGAGAAATGTGTACATCGATACACATGTTTACATTAGTGATAGAACTATGTACTTTGTACACGGCCCATGACAACTTCCCTAAACGTAAGTTACACCATCGGCTAGGGGGGCTATGAAGAGCAGCCTCTGGTGTTGCTCAGGGCTGTGTTGGGTGGGCGCGTGTTTAAAGTCAGCGTCTCTCGGAGAAACAGCCGCATATTTTTTGACATTTTCTCCTGCCCATAAAACCATCTCCTTATAATGCGAAGGGTTGCCAATCTCGGGGCCTGGCCGGGTCTATAGATGTGGCCCCATTCCAACCCCACAGTGCACAACAAACCGACGAGTTGGAGTCTGAGGAATGAAATCAGCTGTCGACGTCGAAATACTTGATCTACCTCTATTGGCCGCTAGCCCAGAACCCCTTGCTCAACTTTGCCGCGGGATGATCACCCGCAAAAATTATCCGTTGGCTGTATTGAAGACCTAGATGCACCGTGTTTGCTGGCGTGGTGGTGGTGGTGGGGTGGGGGGGCACCAAGACGTCTGAACTCATTGACCTAGTCCCAGTAGCGTATCGGAGCTGGGGCCTGGGCATCTAATATTATTTCTCTTGTTTTTGTAAAGGAATCAAAAGCACCAGCATTCTAGAAAAGGTACAACCACCAGCTTGCATGGACGAAAAAAATGTAGTCTTTTTCGAAAAGAATTTTTTGCACCCCTCGCATGTCCTATACTATAGTCTCCTGGTCACAATACCTGGATACGCCACCGCATTGACCCTCCCCAAACTTCCTAAAGCCCACCCAGTGGCGTGGCTGGGATTTACTAGTGGGGGAACAAGGGAGGGGTTACCATGCAGCATCTTATGATAAGGGGGCACTAGCTTTCAGTGGTGAGGTTTTTTGGGGGGCAAGCTATTGTTAGCCTTGATCAATATTAAGTGGGGTGAGGCACCTGGGGGCACCGGGAATTTGGGGGGGGGAGTCCCCCGGCTAGTGAGCCCACCGTCCACGGCATCGGCAGATGATTATGACCATTATGATGCTGCGCTACTATCGATACATGCACGTGCATGTCGCAAAGGCCGTGTCTTGGGAAACTGGCTTCCAAACCTACGGCAAGGTCTGCCTGTCTCAACGTATTTCCAATGGTGTGAAGATCTAGCAGCCACTCTTTTAATATGGAAGGGCTGCGTAGCATGCTAGCACCGTGCTCGGGATGACATCATTGCTGGAAATAGTAAACACAAAGGACAGGTAATCCAGTCTATTTCCTGACATGTCTCCGAGCGGTACCACTAACTATATGTATGGTATTGCAAATTGGAGCCAGACTATTCTTGAGTTAGCTTATTTCATGTACTGTACATTATACGTGCTGTAGGCGAATGATGGTTATAAATGTATTCTGTTTTCCTTTCAAACAAATTTAGGTGTTTCATGCTGGCTACTGTCTGAAGTAAAGGATATTTACTTTGTTTTTAGTTCAGATGTTCTGTCAAAACTGAGTTTGATGTTGGAAAAGGATGTTTTCTACGGTGCCAACAACTCAGAGTTCGCAAAATCAAAGTGAGTTAGCTTAGTGCTGGTTTAGACCTAGCAAAAAGTAGCATTATTTCATGTATTTAGTCCGACTCCGAGTAACTTGGACCCTAAAATCGCCTTTTTTAACATTTGGGGTTCAAGAAGTAAAGAACCTTCCATTGGCTTTTTCTTCCATTAATTCATTTCACTCAATATAGCTTGTACCCCGAACCAAATCCTCCGAATTCACCTCCAAAATGGTCCCTAAACCATGTAAACCGTCCCGACTGCCCGACAAAGGCTAACTTAAAGCGCTAGATAGGGAGGCTCATAAATATTTCATCATTTTTTTTTTGTTTTCTTTTTGACGTGATCTTGGAGAGGATGTCATAAGAAACATTTTGCTATATGTTTGGATTCCACCAGTCCTTGCAAAGCAAAGAAAATACTGATTTAAAGTAGGAATATTTTGAGATGTTATGGGACTTTTTTTGTACATGTAGGCTAGGCCTAGTCGGCCTACATGTATAATGCAGAGCAAACTGATTTTTGGAACACAAAAGAGAGCGTGGATTTTGATTGAAATGCTTAAAATCCATATTTTCATAAAATTGTTGTTCTTATCTGTGCCTTATTTCAATAAATTAAATGTTGGCTTCACTTGAAATTTCAAAAAAATTGACATTGGAAGTTAAATAGAGGAGCTAGAGCATGCGGAAAAAAGACAAATTTCAATCACAATTTCCTATTTAAGAGAATGAGATCCCAAATGAACAGCGCCCTCACTCATGTATGCAAGTCCAAAGCCTAGACCTGTAAACAGGGCCCGACGTACTTTGAGAACTCGAAGTCACTACTCTGTCATACTCTGTGTGATTTTGGGCCAACACAGTTTACATGGTGTTGTAACGCTATGGGGTTTTGGAATGAAATTTTTGTGGTGAAATGATTGACTGGTAAGAAAGCTTATTAAATCAGGTTTTATCCTGTCAGTAAACCTAATTAATCTGTACCTCTTAAAAAGCGGGATAACAAAGTTTCAGAGCATGAGACAGAGTATTTTGGGAAAAAAATTTGATTTTTTCTCACCATTTCTCGCTTCTACCCGACAACTGTCGTTCCGTTCATACCGTTTGTGTTTGTCAGACTGCGCATACGTCGAACCCACCAATGACCACGCAGGCTCCGCATCTTGGCTCGACCATTTGGTGGTGGGGAATGAATCTTGTGTTGTTTTCATTATGGGACTATCCTAGCTGCTGCTGTGACCTGCAAACACCCATCGGCACTGGCGGGAGGCGTGACATGTGCTGTGTTGTGTAGCGGTGACAGATTGCGAGACTTAAAAAATCTCCCCCCCCCTCCGGATCTTTTGAACTTCAAATTTTAGGCACAGTTAGGGGATGGAGAGGGATAGACAATAACTCCATTGAAGTATTTGTTCAGTTTAGCATAATTTGTTGTGCTTGTGTGTCAAACATGTCAAAGCGTACACTTTGCCTCCAGTAGGTCACATATTTTTTCATTTAATGAAATCGATACAGATCTAATCCAGGTGGGGCCGTGCTGGTGAGTTTTTTTCTATCCAACAATCCCCAAATCCCACAACAGATGTTCAGTGCTTGTACTTGTAGCACAGTGTAGGTGTACTTGTTATTTGAAGTATGTGGTTCTTTTGTCCAAATATGGGATGGTTTTACTTCACAGGAAGTCTTATAGAGCCGTTACTAACTTTAAAATCTGTAAGATTTTGAACAATTTAGTCACTTGTTTTTTGGATAGATACAAATGGTCCACACTTCCTTTGACAACAAATGTTTTTACAAAGTAAGCCAGCCTGGTGTAATGGTGTAAATGGACCTCAGGAATAGAAATGGTAATGCAAGGCCAGTTGACTTAAGCCTGGACTCTCCGGTTCGTGACTTTGTCACACAAGTACATGTACACACGGATGTGCCACGATTTGCAGACTCCCGTTGGACGATTGCTGAAGTTATGGGGTATTCTGGTTCCATGGTTCCATGTAAACCGCGATCAATGCAAGTAACTCTATGTGCATGTGCAGTGGAAGTGGTTTAGCCTGAAGTGATGTCACACTTACAGTATGAACCGGATTGTGCCTTTCCAACTTGTAGTCAGATCGACCCCAACTATAGTGCAGGGGTTGGACTTGCCCAAACTGTACTGGACAAATTTCCTCAGAAAAATATCTCAACCATCTCCACATTTATGCTGCTCACACTTGACTTACATGTTCTTGATCCAAAATATGCCAACCTGGCATGTCGCCTATGACACAAAGAAAAACTAGTTTCTGCCTTTGTGAGCTAACATAAACGATATTTGTGTTGGTTCATGCTAACGCACACCTGGCACGGTGCTATCACTGGGCAGGAACGTGTTACACTATAGTTGGAATGTAACAGTAATACTAGATTTCATTTTGTAGTGATTGCATTCCAAGACTCGTGAGTTTTGACTCATTCAACATTTCTACTCAAACTGAATCCTCAATCTCAGTCGTTTGATTTTTTCATATGAACAGGTTCATCAGCTAATAGGCCTGAACTGTATGAGGTAAGTGTGCCTACATACATGTACATGTCTGTGTGGTGTTGCTCGATGTTGCCGTGCAGTTCCGTCATCATCAGTTGTTAATCATTCTTGACTAGGTCATGGCTGCAGATTGATTTGTAAAAGGAAGATTATAGTGAGAGATTTGATCCGGCATTGACCAACAGTGTTGCATGATCGTGAGACAATGCAACAGATCTGCCAATTGCACTCGACCCTTACCGTGTCAAGTTGAAGAAAAGTCTGAGCGATTTACCTCAAGGTTTCGTGTAACTACATTGTATTTGAGTGACCTGGCCTGTTTGGCGAAATTTGAGTGTATGGCCCCGCAACTTTTTCAGTCCTTGAATGGTTAGGATCATGCCAAATTGTTACATCTGTTGCACTTAATAGTTTAAGGCGTCCAATTTATCCTTTACCCAATCGTGTTCTTTTCTTGTTTTTTTTTCCCAGGAAGTGAAGCTCTTCCGGAACTTCCGGGAAAGAGAAAAATATGATAACATGGCAGAGCTGTTTGCAGTGATCAACACATTGCAGTGGTTAGAGAAGGCCTACATACGTGATGCCATCACACCAAAAGAGTATGTTGAGGAGAACACTCAAGTCTGTTTAGTATTTCAAGAGGAAATTTGTCCGTTTTTCCGTGCGAGCCGAGAGATATTCTATATGTGGGTGATTGTATCAATTAGAAGTCCAACTTGGGGACATTTTGGTGTTCTGTTACGGGTGAAACCATTCAGCTTTTCTGGATGGAACTAATATTAGTACTGTTCACATTCTGTAGATCAAACAGGATTACATTGTTTATGACCTGTACAATATACAGTTCAATCTGCACAATGTGTGATAATGTGGTTACAATTTTACATGAAGAAAAGTTGGATGGCTTCACGTGCAACAGGACACCAAAACGTCCCCAAGTTGGACCCCAAATTTATAGAATCACCCATGCGTGTTTGGGTTTGTGTAGCGTGCACAGTTGAATAGCTTGGAACATGCACATAATGGAAGGTATTTGTAGTTCATGTCTCAGAGTTGTCGCCTTTGATGACATCCAAGAGCAAGTTTAAGCGATCAAGTGTGGAAGCTTGGCGTCATGTTTAGGAATTAGACGTTGAAGTTGGAAACACGACGTCTGGATCAGTGTGTCATGATATGATTATCAGTTTGCCCCAAACTCATCAGAATATGTGAAAAGTTGTTCTGAAATTGTAAGACTCGGGACTGTTTTATCGATGAATAAGATACATATACATGTACATGTATCTTTTCATAGATGGAGACTATACATTTGTGGCTTTATTGTCCCCTTTTTCAATGCAGGTATACGGCAGCCTGCTCCAAGTTACTGGTGCAGTACAAGGCAGCTTTCAAGCAAGTACAGAGCGATCAGATACCCACTGTCGAGACGTTCATGAAGAAATACAGGGTGAGGTTGGATTGAAAACTCAACTGATGAAGTCTCAGTGTCGGATTTGTCCCTTGTTCCACGATGAAATCAACAATCAGGCTCTTAGCTGGACTGAAACCAGAAATTGGTTTTTCTGTTTTGAGTTTCAAAATGAGTTGTACTTGCAGAGAAAAATGCATGGAAGTGCCAGAAATTTTTGTTTTTGACCACAAACGGGGATGAAAAAGGAATTGAATATGAAAACCGAACCATGGCTTCAATCTAGTCGTAAAGGGGCTACATGCTAGTTCGTGTACACGTGTAGAGATAAGAAGAACTCGCAAACCACTGCGGAAATACTGCTTAACTTGACTGGTTCCCTGCATTGTGGTTTTTATCTTAATACAAACACATTTGCTAGATATGAGAACAGTTATGTGAGCTGGTCACATGGCCCACATTTTGACCACTTGTGAAACTAAACTTTTAAAATTTGATGCTACATTTTATGCTGAAAATAATTTTTAAAATTGTAGTGACCTTGTGTTTGGAGCATTGACGTATATCTTATGCATTCTATTTTTTGACTGGACCAGTGAGCAAATGTCATTTTCTTTCAAGGACCAAGAGAGTAGTTAAGTTCATTGATGAAAACTTTTGTCAACACAATATTTCAGATGGATTGTCCAGCAGCCATGGAGAGAATTAAGGAGGATCGACCAATCACAATCAAGAATGATGACGGCAACACAAGTGAATGCATCGCGCAAATCGTTTCGGTGAGATATTGAGCAACCAAGTCATTTCTGGGCCTCGCTTGCATATAGATGGCAACTTGGAAGCTGGTGTATGCTTGCATTGGTGCCACGGATATGTTTTCAAGGGTTGGGAGAAATCGTTCCATCTGTGACGTTGCCTCATTTTGCTCCTGCCCTCATTTCAAGGGCACCGTGGCCAAGCTTCACCAAGTGACACATGCAGGCACCCATGCTAAAGACTGAAGCATTTGTATTCAGTTCTAACATTGTAGACCAAGAAACATTGGATGTTAGACATGAAGCCTGTAGCAGAGACGTTGTGAGTAGGGTCGCATGTGTACCATAGTACAACTCTATAGTCCCCGCACAGATCCAGTGTGAAATTGTAATGCCATCGAGCAAAATGAGTTGTTTGTCATTTTTTTAATTTGAAACACGTCTCAGAACAAAATGTCCAGCCTGAAATCTTTTCAGTGTTTCAGCTTCCACTGCTGTTAATCCAAAGGTTGTTTGAAAGTTGGGACTTTCATAGGTATGAGGTCGACAATGTGTACTTATACAAGGAATGGAATTCACAAATTGGCCTGGGTCCACAAATGACTCGTTTGGCTTGATCGCATCACAGCTGTTCTTGCAGTGGTACCTCCTATGAAAAACAGCCTTTTGAAATATTTTTGTAGCGTACCAAGTCCCCCTGTTGATGTGTCTCTGTGTTTTACATTCCTTTGGAAAGTTGACATGATTGAGTGAAAATAATTTGTCGCTGAGATTTGTGGACAGTCCATTTACTCAGAGTAACTTTGGTAAGTCGGAGCTCATGTTTTCCTACTGAGTCACATTTATCTTTGCTCTCCCTCCCCCGGTCCCCAGCTGTTCATCACGGTCATGGACAAGCTCCGATTGGACATGAAGGCTGTTGACGAGATTGAACCCGAACTGCGGGAACTCAGCGAAACCATGAACAAGATGACCCTGCTCACCGACGACTACCAGGGGAAGGAGAAGGTCAATTCCTGGTGAGTTGTTGGAGGAAATCCTACCCCCCCCCCCAGTGGGATATGCGATGGTGTCATTTGAAATGTGCTGTTGTCAGCACACAAAAGCGAACAGCAGCATGGCCTACTTTTAACAACCGTTGACTGCTGCTATGTGGGATACCATGTTTTGAAAACTCAAGGGACCCGAGGTCGTTCAAAAACTCGTGTCCCACGTCACAGCAGTCAACAGTGGTTTGGTCATATCTCTGTCTTGATGATATTTTTCTGAAGGAAGGAATTAAATGTGACAAAGGACCCTTTGAATATTTGGACCGAATGGTCCCTGCATTTTCTTGTACGCTGCAGAGGCGTGAGTGTGTCTGTAAAATAAATAATCCTGGCAGATGTGTTGGTTAGTGTGACATGTGGTTACGGTATGGTTACAGTATATGGCCCTGTCCAGGGCTGATGAAAAAAACAGTATTCAAGACAAACGTATGACAAGTACACATACATCTGCTCTTGTTGAGGTAAACTGCTTGACATGCAAATTGATGGCATTATGTTATCCTTACTTGATACACCTCACACCTGTTTCATTTGCTCAGGGATACTTTTACATCTGCTATTACTGTTCATTACACTTAATTTTGCATTAAATTACAATTATCAACATTTCCTATTTAACTCAAATTGGGAAGTTGAGTCCTGTATACATGTAGATTTGTTCATGCAGTCACTTTTCTTCAATTAATTTTCGGGAAGGTTAACTGTTGCATTTTTGAGAAATAGTCACGTAGGAAGGATTTTCAGCTTAGAAGAGTTTTTTTAAAAGTTTAAAATTACAAGCTTGCCTCCTGTGTCATCCGTAGATTTACAGCCGTAATGTCCGTGACATTTTTTGAATTGTATTCAAGTTCACTCTCTCCCCTTCCCAGTTGTTAATAGATAGAGCGCCCTCCACAACATTCTTGGTTTCAGGCATGTCTTGTCTTTTGCCACCTTAGCACGTTTCAGTCATGTCAGCCAGTTGGCTCAGCTGGGCCTGGAAAGGGATGGAAGGTGGGGGGGCGCTATGACCACGATCAGGGGCCTTCTGTGACAACCACAGAGTGGTGGGGGCCTTCATTCAGGCTGGAATCAAGTCTAAGTAGGCAGATGCTGCACACGGCATTACAATTACAGCAAATGTATCCAATAACCTGCATCTTTGGTTAATAAATATCACAGATGGCTGTCGCTTCGGTTTAATTTTTTGGGGGGAAGGCATCTGTTTGGAAGCATTATTATTCATTTAAATGTGCATATTTACCATAATTGAAGTTCCTCTTTGAATTACACTTATAATCAAGCCAATCATGAAATATACGATGTTACCAATCAGTCTACCACAACTAGGGATTAACAGTGACATATGATCTGAAAATAATGCAACTGACACCAACCATTTGGATGTTTATTGCGATGTTTATTGACTTGTGTTGACTCGATCACAGCTGTCGTTCTTTTTCAAACTCCACAGTGACCTCAAATTGCCGGTTATGCCTTTGTGTGAGTGTGTGGGTGGGTGTGTGGGTGTGTGGGTGTGTGTTTTGTGCAGACGAGGGCTTTGAGGAGGGAGGCTTTTGCTGAGGATTTGGGACTCTAGCGCCACCCTCGTCTGGGCACTAGGAGAGGAGGGAATAGGGGGGGGGCACAAGTCAGTCACACCCCTCTCCTCAGGGGGGAAAAAAACGTGAAAAGGGAGAGAGGAAAGAGAAGAAAAAGCGAAAGAAACAAACAAAGAGGAGGGAAAACAAAAATCACCGATTTGCTGAGAAGTATCTCAGAATATAATCCCTTCCACTGTGAATGGTTTGTCAGCAGGTTGCTGAAAAGTATCTCAGAATATAATCCCTTCCACTGTGAATGGTTTGTCAGCAGGTTGCTGAAAAGTATCTCAGAATATAATCCCTTCCACTGTGAATGGTTTGTCAGCAGGTTGCTGAAAAGTATCTCAGAATATAATCCCTTCCACTGTGAATGGTTTGTCAGCAGGTTGCTGAAAAGTTTCCCCCCATCCCCCGAAAAAGGCTTTGTCCTGAGTCCTACTTGTACATGTGCTAAGACTTTGCAAACTGAAAGCCAAAATGTGACACTGCTACTATATCTTGTAGTTCAGGGCAAGCTTGTGTTTATGTAGATGTGGAAGAGACGCCCTGAACCAGTGCACTGTTTCCAATTGATAAGAAGGGCACAGAGGAACCAGTCCATTCCAGAGACGGTGGTCGCTATGCAAAAGCTTGGCCCAAATCACTAGGTATAGCAACAGTGTCTTTAGTCTGGGGAATTCAAATTGTTATGGTGATGTGCAACCAGATAACTCAGTGTACCAGATTTTATTCAAATTTAAGTCACAAAAGGCTGACTGGGTATGATCCTGCCAACAATTCATGCCACACCGTATTACAAACTTCTGTGTTTCCAAAGGCGTTCATATCGACGTTGCCATTGGCCAATTTGTCGTGCCTATTCTAAGGGGACTTGCTCATGTTTCTGCATGCTCCACATTTCAGCACCAATAAGTGAATATCTCAACGTCTTGTTCTAAGGTTGGATGACTCCCCCCTCAGCCACAGCTGGCCCCTATTACCAAAGATGATATATTTCTCATATATGGCTGAAACCATTTAGACAGGTGTGAAATGGTCGTGTCGGTGATGCTGCTCAGTGTCAGTACCAATTTGTGGCATATCCAATGTTGTGAATTTCTCATGGGACATCTTGAAAAAAGGTGGCTTTGCCATGCAGGTTGTGGGCCTATTAATAGTGAAATGCTAATGTCCATGTGCGCGTACGGTGTAATTTTTCTCTGGTACATGTACATGCAAAGCTACATACTGTGTTAAAACAGTGACCTTGAAATCTCCATTAGATTTCAGAGAAACACCAGAAATTTCTGGTAAATTCCTGCTTGATAATAATAATGCAGTTGTTAAGCATGTGCATGGGGCAGTTACAATCACACATCTCAGTAGAAATGATTCTTACGGGACTGAATTAATTTGTTGGTAAAAATGGGTGATTAAAAACCCTCATATACATGTACCTGTACATGCAAGCTTTACTTCAGTGTGTATGAATGTCGACAGTCAACTCTTATTTATGAAAAGGTCTTTTGACTTACTGCATTTGTTCACTTTATCGGGAACCTCGTTTTAAGCAAAAGCTATCATCCTACTTGACGTGTGCATCACTGATAGATCGTACATAAAGTATATGCATATTTTCTTTTTGAAGTGTAAGTAAAGATATGAATTTGATTTAAAATAAGCTTTGATCTGTTTATGAAAGAGATAATTATAGAAAACTTCTGTTGGTACAGAACCACAAAATGCCCATGGTTTGTCGCTCTTGTGGTACATGCACTAACAGCTTGATTCAGTGGGGAAAAACTTCAGTGCTTTACTGCTGTACATAAAATAGTTACAGCAGCATCTTACAAAACTGAACGGGTTGGCTGATTAACAATATGCCATCAAAAATGCTCCATGCTGAATACATAACAATACATGTACATTTACTGGCACTGAGCCGGAGACATAAAAAATGCTCATCTTAGCCAAAATCTCGTAACACCTGAGATTGTATTAAGCTTTTGTTCCCCTGAAAGTAATGTACATTATTGAGTCGAGACCAGCAAAATATGCTTGTCTGAGGCGGAATCTCATCCTATCCGAGCTCGTATTACTAAGAGTCGACTGTGTGTTACATGTACAGTGTATTTTGTACATGACTGCCGTACTGTAAGTTTTGTTTTGTTGCGGTGTGACTCTTTCCAGTCCATTTTGACATTGACAACAGGCAGATTCACTAGTTGTTGATGGCAAGGGTAAAGTACCTGTTTTCTGGAGGCCTTTTATGGGCATTGTCACAAAGGCATGTGAGAGCAGATGTTAATGATGGTCTCCAGTCTTTACCCACAATCAGAGTTTCTCACCCATAGCACAGTATCAGGCTTGTGGACACGGTGCATGAACACTGCCTTGTGCTCCCCAACCCTTGACGATGCAGCCCCAATTTGAAAGCAGTGGCGTCTTGTTTGGTTTCTTTGTATTGGAGAACAAAGAAGTGGATGAGCATGACTAGCCTTGGCATGCTTGGGAGCAAGTTCACATTGACAAATCCTTCCAAAATATCAGTGATGTGGACAGTGTCGTAGGCGGACATTTGCTGAGGTAAAAGTACATGTAGGACGAAGAGCCGTACACGACATGATGTTGTTGCTGGCATGGGCATTGCTGGGGAATTGTTCCAGGATGGTGTTGAGGGGGGGCAGCGCACTTAATAGCAAGGTGAAAAGTTGGGAAGAGAGAGGAAAAAAAATATCGTGTGCTGCAAGATGGCGAGGCTCAAAAACTCTCGTTGCTGTAGGCCTATGTTACTTGACTTGTTGGTTCTACCCGGGCATTTTAAAGTGTAACTGCAGTGAATTTTTCTTAGAATTTGTCTGCAAAATTTGGACAATTCTTCAACGTGTGAAAACTCTTTTTATATTCATGTTTGGTTAAATGCATTGAAACGTGCCTTTTGAAAAATTATTTATGCTTTCCTGGGCAACCAAGGGCACTGTTGCTGCGATGTCATGTAGTGAAGACATACCATGTACATGTAGTTGAAGTTCAGTGCATACAGTGTGGGTTTTCGTGTTCAAGTTATGAACCCAGAATTCACTTACTGAAAACATGTCTTAGAATGGGATTGATCCCTGCTTACTGCTATGCACATACATGATGTAAACAATAAGGAAATGCACAAAGAAGACAAAATTTAGTTCAGCAAAATATACAAAAATGCAACACTTTTTTGTGTAGAAACCAATCTAACGATGAGGCTTTCTTCCTGGGATGACATCACAGTTTTGCTCTTGAGTATGGAAGTACTCATTAGCATAGAAACCAAAAAAAGGGGTACAATACCCTTTAAAATATTGAAACAAAGGTTGAAAATAAGGTTAACTGAGACATAAAGGGTGCATTTTGAAGGTTTGTTTTGAAACAAATTGATTACAGCTACCCTTTAAACTTTTGTAGTGTAGAATAGGTCAGAATATTCAGGATTTTCGGGTAGTCAGTATAAATCTATACCCGACCAAATGCGAGTGCAGTAATTTAGACACAGTGTCATTAGTGAAACACACAGTTTGTTGGAAATAGGAAGTTCTTTATGAAGTCAGGGTAGAGTTCACATATTTCCTTGATGCTCTCTTGCAGGTTAAAGACCATGTCATCGATGCGAGCTTCTGACGAACTCGATGAAGACCAAATCAGACAGTTGCTGCACGATCTGGACTCGGCCTATCAGAGCTTTATACGTCTGCTCGGAACCGGATCGTGAGTAGGTTGAATTGCTGGGTCAGCAAAGTACTTGTGTGAAACATGAAAATCATTCAAGTGTGACAAATTACTCGGAGCATATCATTAGTGTTGAAAACGACACATTGTGAAATGTGAAAGTTTGATCACCCTCCATGATTTGTAGACTGTTACATGATATGTAAAAGAACACTGTATGATGTACATGTAATTGTAATTGTATATATTCTTTAAATGTTTTTGTTATTAACCTAGCTTGATACACATGTAAAGAGTTGTGTGAAACACTACATGCGGGCAATTCAGAATACAGTGCGCCACCAAGAGGTAGCCATGAAAAGGCTGTGTTTCGCAGTGCATTGTGGGAAATGGTCAATCGAATTCTATTCACCGGGTGTGTGCAGGGAGCTTGAATTACAATGTATTCCTAATATTTGCCAGGGAAGAAGATTTGTTAGCGTGTTTTGAGTAGCAGTTGTTATCAATCCTTTTATCTTTCTGTTGCATGGAATGCCCCAATGAGTCCAACAATTTCTCCAAGTTGACTACTGACACACCGGTACGCTCAAATGCAAATGTCGCGGCAAGGCAGCCGTGCTTTTGTCGACCGTAAACTTGCAAAATGGCCTCTCTATGGCAAGCTCTTGGTCGTGCACTGTATTGTGAATTGCCTTTGTGTATATTCCTGTTCTGTCTGTGATGTGAAAAAGAAGGTCTTACTTTTCTTGCTTCCTTGATATGCGTGCATTACTCCCTGGGCATTCTCAAATGCAAATGTAGGCTTTTGCAAACACTCCAGTTTCATGCCAGTCCCTGAAAATATGGTAAAAACATGGATGACTTAGTTTTATTGTCCTGGAAGATTATGTGCCTGTTGGAAAGAAAAATGGCTTGATCTCTTGAATGTGAGATTAAGGCGGTGTGCTGTAACGACAACTATTGGTTAAGAGGATGCATTGTACTGAATGGGTACTAAAAATGTCAAACATCTCACGTGAGCAGTCATCATTACTATTCTGAAGGTGAAAGGTGATAGCTTAATGTCGCCAACTCTGGCATACGTGTTGGTGATTTTAAGAACACCACCGGACAGTCCACTACAACTGTCCAGGCTGTCAGACGTCCAGGTAGTAGCCTCAGTTTATGGTCCCACTTTTGCTTTTGGTGATGATAAATTTACTTAGTTAAAATTCTGTCATTAAAAACAGAGTGTGGAATTGATGACGGGTTGCCAACCCTTATTTTTCTTCTCTTCATTGTTTCCCTCAATATTTGTCTAGTTTGAAAAGCAGATGGCCTGACTGTAATAAATGATTGAGTGGAAGCACTGTAGAAGACCAGCTTGTAAAGGCAGATGCCAAACTGTTCCAAGAATTCAGGTACACATGTACCTATCAAATTTATTGGGTGCAAAGAACATTTAATCCCAAAAAGGGACCACCATGCGATAGATATTCATTTTGGATGAAATGCTTAATTTGCACGCCATACAAGTTGTTCTCTTTTTTTTTCTTTTTCGGTAAACGTATAAAAGTGTGAGGGCAGTTTTTATGTACCGGCATGTACATGTAGATGGTCTTTGATGAGCTTGGTTGGACCCTTGTTATTCCAAGGTCATTTCTGGGTATCTTTTTTATCAAAGTTGGTGTTGTAAAAAAAAAAAGCGGGGGAGGGCTTTTCTTTTACAGTGTACCTTTGGTGGGTTTATCAATCCAAAGTTAATGGAACTTTAAATTTGGATATTTGATAAGTGCCAAGAGAGTCTTTGTTGATGCAGTGTGCTTGTAAGGTGCTTGAAAAATAATGTCAAAAACGAAATTGTTCCGAAGTCATCGTATGAGGAATGATTGTTCAAGCTTAACATCTTGCTTACGAGAGGAAAGCCTGGAAAATTCAACCGACAGATGTTGCAATGAAGCAATATGCTTCATGGGAAATATTTGGACTGTGATAAATAATACCCCGCTGTACTTCTTTCCTGGACTGGAGAGTATATTGCAGTTTTTCAGTATGCCGCTTGAGTGCAAGTGGGAATAATGCTCCTTTGTGGTTTTGGAAATGGTCGCCTCGGTATCCCGTCAAAATCTGATGCAGCAGAGGAAGAATCAGGTTTGCCTAGTTTAGGTTAACCCTGAGAAAGTTAAAAGTATCAAGATTTTAATTAGTGTAAAATAAACCAAAGCGAGAGCAGCCGAAATGTGGAATTCGGGGAAAAACCAATTACTTTAAGCCCTCCCCTCCACCTGGTCCCGACACGTTGCCTTCCCCCCCCTCCTGCGCGTCATTTCATTTGAATCACCTCAAGCTGATGAAGGACCAATGGCGCGAGGCCCATTAACCACTCATGAGTTGGAGGGTATCTTGCGGAGGTGTGAAGTTTATTAAACCAGTGGTATTAAAAGATGAGATTGCTTGACACCGGAGTGTCAGTTGGTTGTTGTCGCTCTTTTGGATGGGATCAGAGCTCAGGTTAGCATCTGTAAGGAGAGAGTGAGACGGCAGAAGCTGTTGTCAAAGAGCGGATTTCATTTTGCGGAACAAGGAGTGTACATTGTAAGTACTCGCATTTATTTCTACAGTCCATTGCTTTGTGCACGTATTTCATGTGGTCATCATCCAGCAAATCAAATCAGTTGTAAGACCCATTTTTGCTGACAAAATGCTAATTTAGAGTTTTGGACTGATCTTCACACTCTAAACAATTCATAAAAATCCAAAATTTGTGGTAGCTTACTAAGAGAGAAAAAAAGAATGGTCACCCTAAAAGTACATGTAACACAAAATTCTCCCACCTGTAATTCCTAAACCCAGTTCAAGTATTGAACTGGGTTCAAGTATTGTGAAGCAGTTTTTCTTGTATTTTGAAGCAAAAACCCACTAAATAATAAAAACCGGATTTTTGTGTGTGTATGGATGAATCAAAAATTTCATGCACGTATGTTGAGACGGGGATTTACTAAATATTTTGGTCGTAATCTGAGTCCGACGGTAATTCACAGCTGTAATCCAGGATGTGCGATGAAGAAACTGCAGCGTTAGTCATTGATAACGGATCAGGCATGTGCAAAGCTGGCTTTGCAGGGGACGATGCGCCAAGAGCCGTCTTCCCATCCATCGTTGGTCGACCCAGACATCAGGTAGGCTTTGCTCCATCCTGGAGAGCTGTTCTTGATACATTCAGATTTCTGTTGGGAGTGGGTGAAACAGGTCAAGGTCTTGCTTTCTTATTTGACCTTTTCTGGTCTTTCTAAGGGGTGGGGCTAAATTTTGGGTCTTTGTGTATGCTTTGTAAGGGATAAGGCATGTGGACTTGTGTTTGAAACAAAATTGCAACACTGCCCAGAATGAAAAGGGAGATGCTATCAGTTGGTAACATGCTCCAGTTTTTCAGTATAACTTGCGTCAGTTCTAATTCTTTCTGGCTGAATTTGTTCAAGTCACACCTGTCATGTTGAGTTTATCTTTAAAATGTCTTTGCAGAAAAGATGCTCATATAATACCTCGCATTTTTGTGCTTTTTCTTCTTTTGAACTAAATCAGGGGGTTATGGTTGGCATGGGACAGAAGGACAACTACGTTGGAGAGGAAGCCCAGAACAAGAGAGGCATCCTGACCCTCAAATATCCCATCGAGCATGGCGTCGTTACGAACTGGGATGATATGGAGAGGGTCTGGCACCACACCTTCTACAATGAGCTACGTGTAGCGCCAGAGGAGCACCCCATACTACTAACGGAGGCCCCACTGAATCCGAAAGGAAACAGGGAAAAGATGGTTCAGGTATTAAGTTACTTCATTTCTACCCCTGTAAATTATTCGGAGACCATGAACTCAGTGGTTGCCATTTTGCAGTAAGGGTTTAACAAAAACCAACAATTGCTGTTTCATTGCAGACAGTGATTTACTCCGGGGAGGATTGCCCCCTTCCCCCTAAAAGCAATTCCTGACAATCTTGCTTGGGAACAGCACGCTTCAATTACCCATTGGCTGCAAAGCCACAAACTCGAGAACTAGCATGGGGGGAAGAAATACCATGGTCACCCACGTGTACCTCTTGAAAAGTATTACTTTTGGGTGCTGTTTTCAGCATTTGGTAGCACCCCTTAAAAACACCCCTCTCGTAAGACTCGGCTTCTTTGTGATTTGAAACTGTCCATGCCATGATCATTTTTCAGAGGTTAGAGAAAAACAAGCCAAAATGCAATCAAACCAACGGAAATTGGTAAGCCTAATGTTTGGATCTCAAAGAATTATGTACCATTACTCCAGCCGGATATCCCATTTGATTTTTTTCTCATGTATTTTTGGTTTTTGCAGATTATGTTCGAGACCTTTAGTTCCCCAGCTTGCTATGTAGCTATCCAGGCTGTCCTATCTCTCTATTCATCTGGCCGCACCACCGGTATCGTTCTAGATTCCGGTGATGGTGTCTCACACACCGTACCCATCTACGAGGGCTATGCCCTGCCCCATGCTATCTGTAGGCTGGACCTGGCGGGCCGGGACATGACAGACTACATGACGAAAATCATGACAGAGAGAGGTTACTCCTTCACCACAACAGGTCAGTGTAAGACCAAGGAATGAGCGTTGATCAAATATGTGTGGAGAAATTGGTCTTGTGTCTCGTGTGATCTTCATTAGGGCAAGGTGTTTCCTTGCAGCAACAGCCGAGTTCAATCAGGAACCATTTGTCGACGACTGGTCGATATTCCTGATGATCCAGGCACAACACAATTCTGGGCACCAGGCCAAATCGACTTGGCTGTCGGTTGACTGTAAAACAGCTGTTGATCAGACATTGTCATTGCAGATAAAGTGCTGTCTCAGAGCCTGTTGGTGTGATTGCTCAAATGGAAATCAACTTGAAGCCCGCGTTCTGCTCGACTGTTTTATTTTGTGGGGGGGGTTAAAGTTTTTTCCCTTTGATATCTTCATCTAGCCATTTGGAATGTTCCATTATTTTTGTTCAATATTTCTGGAATTGTACCAATTTTTCTGAATGGTCCTCTGAAATTAGTTAACAATTTTTCCCATCATTAGAAAAATTTTCCTTAAAAAAAAGGAGCCAAAGTTTCTGAACATATTTGTAACTTTACCGGCTGCCCAATATCAAGGCTGTATCAGTCTTTAATATTGCAATGTGTCTGGTTTTGTGACAGCGGAGCGTGAGATCGTCCGTGACATTAAGGAGAAGCTTTGCTATGTGGCGCTAGATTATGAACAGGAGATGAAAATCAGCATTGGAAGTTCAAGCATCGAGAAGAGCTACGAGCTACCAGATGGACAGATAATCACAATAGGCAAGTAGCTTGAAAGCAGTGAAATGACGGAATGGATTGTTACGTCAGGAGATTTGATATCTTTTGCTTCAGCAGTTGATAGTCTCAGACAAAAATGGTTTTAATCATTTTGAGCTGGAGGACTTGTATAGCATGGCTGATGGGTTGAAATATCCTCAACTCATCCTCCTCAACTCACCCTCCTCAACTCACCCTCCTCAACTCACCATCCTCAACTCACCATCCTTAACTCACCTTCAGCTGACTTCTAAACACACTAATCTTCATCTGTTTTGCATATACACACTTGGCCGCTGTGCATAGCTTGTCGTGGTAGCAAATTTCACTTTGTGGGTGTGCCCCAGAGTGTTTAAAAAATGAGGTTTCAGTAAGAATTATGATACACATGTATGTACAAAATTTTCAGTACTTGTTCCATTTGGCCATCATAATATCAGAAATTGGCTGCTGCATCTTACCTATTTCGAAAGTCGAAATTTTTGGAAACAGAATTCCTGTTGGCAAGTGGGTAAAAATTTGGGAATTATCTGATTGGTTAAGTTCTGCTTCACATTCTAATATTTGTTCTCTAATTCCCACTTGCAAATGGGCATAATGGAGAAAATAACCTTTACTGGTGAGATTCTAGGGCTGTAGTCTACATGTCTATGAGGAATTTTTTTGTTGGGTTGTTCTCTGTAGGAAATGAACGATTCCGTTGTCCAGAGCTCATGTTCCAGCCAGCGTTCATCGGCATCGAGTCGGGCGGTCTCCAGGAGACCACCTACCAGAGCATCATGCGCTGCGACGTGGACATCCGCCGGGACCTCTACGCCAACACGGTGCTGTCAGGCGGCTCAACCATGTTCCCTGGCCTGGGTGATCGCATGCAGCGGGAGCTCACCACGCTGGCCCCGAACACCATGAAGGTCAAGGTGGTGGCGCCCCCGGAGAGGAAGTACTCGGTGTGGATCGGGGGCTCCATCCTGTCCTCGCTCTCCACCTTCCAGCAGATGTGGATCAGCAAGCAGGAGTATGATGAGATGGGCCCTGGTATTGTACACAGGAAGTGTTTCTAGTCTCTAGCTCTTTTTTCCCTTTGTGCTTGGTAAAAACACATTTTTACTCTCCAGAATTTTTCCTAAAACTCTAGAACACCTAAAATGTCCCAAGCTAAATTGTTAGATATCTGATTTTCCACATACATGTATGGAAAACCAATGGTTACCGAGTTTCCTCCAGGAAAAGCCGCATGACTTGACAGCATTTTATCCTCAAATTTCTGTTTTGCCTCCATGCTTGCTGTTTTCTCCTGCAGAATTCTCCAAAAATTGGAAAAATTTTATTGTGTATTCTTAGACAGCAGAGTCCCAAGATTTTGGCATCTTCCAAACATCAGTTTTAGACAATGCAAAGACAATGTACTGCCACTGAAATGAGACCCTCTCTATAATTTGTGACCCTTAACTAAAATAGTTGCAGACTGTGAAAAACAAAAGTAGCCATATGGAAGAAGACCTCACAATCTTACGATCATTTGGAAATGTCATGTCAAGCTAATTTCTTGTATTGACAAAGGCAATAACATCCCATCAATATTCTCTTCTTCCCAATCCAACCCTGACAAAACCCTTGATTTGCTAAACAGTATAAAACCTTGTTTCTGTATCTCTGACTTGTCATGCTGGTGAAAAACCCAAATTTAAGTTGGTCTGTACCGTTCTTTTTGAGGATGACTGTTTTACTGCATCGTGTGTTACACTGCTACATTGATGTTCATTTCTGTGAAACCTTCACAATAGTTGCTGGTTGTATTTGGACTGGTTCTGACAGCAAAGACGCTGCATGTTTGTACTCATACTGATGAAATTTAGCGGTGCTGTGCATAATTTATACCACTTGCAGTGAGCCCGAGTGTTGCGTGCATTGTGTCCAAAGCACCATCGACTGTTTGGGCCAAGACCATTGTCAAGGACAAGACCACTGTCAAGAAGGTCAAGACCATTGCCAAAAAACTTGAAACACCAGAGTTTGGCCCCTGACAGTGTTTTGCGGAGTCTTAGGTCTTTGGAATATGTATAAGGCGTTCTGTATATAGTTATGGCTGGGAATTTGAATTGACAGTGAAGGTCAAAAGGCATACAGTCGTCCTGTTCTGTTTTTTCGTGTGTGGTTTTCATACCCAGTTAAGATTGTAGCTCAGTTTTCTAAGAGAACACGTAGACTGTATTAGTGTAAATCCATACTTCAAATAAATCGTTGCATCCTAGAACGTATCAGATGGCGTTCGAGTGTAATGAATATCAGTCCATGTCTGGTTTGCAACCCCCCAGATATAGTCTTGTTCATTTGGTAACACTGATGACAATAGCAAGTCTTTCCCACTATTGACCCCCAGAGAGCTCTTACGAAATCTAAGTATGAATCTAATCTTTATATATAAGAAACGAACACCTGTAGTTGGGGGACCCAAGTGGCTCAACAGGTTAGCTTGCTGCCTGGTAGAACCACCCTGGTGGGACGAGAACCCTCCAGAAGCAGGTTCAATCCCCAGCAGGGTAACAAGCTAGCTAAAGAAGCTAGCGTGAAAAAGAGTTTTGCTTTTAATTTTATTTTATTTAAGGCTCAGTAAAAGAAAAACCCCCTGCTTCACTGGGACTTGAACCCAGGACCTCTCAGTCCAGAGTTCAGAGTCCTAACCACTGGACCACTCAATTTTCTTAGTAACATATGCTCGGACCATATATTTATCTTTAAGATTGAAAGGTATGGATCTTAAAAATGTAATGAAAAAGGAACAGTTGGGATTTGAACCCAGGACCTCTCAGTCCAGAGTTCAGAGTCCTAACCACTGGACCACTTGATCTTCTTAGTAACACATGCTCAGACCATATACTTATCTTACAGATTGAAAGGTATGGATCTTAAAAATGTTATGAAAAAGGAACAGTTGGGATTTGAACCCAGGACCTCTCAGTCCAGAGTTCAGAGTCCTAACCACTGGACCACTTGATTTTCTTAGTAACATGTGCTCGGACCATATACTTATCTTACACATTGAAAGGTATGGATCTTAAAAATGTTATGAAAAAGGAACTTGTTGGGATTTGAACCCAGGACCTCTCAGTCCAGAGTTCAGAGTCCTAACCACTGGACCACTTGATTTTCTTAGTAACATATGCTCGGACCATATACTTATCTTACAGGTTGAAAGGTATGGATCTTAAAAATGTTATGAAAAAGGAACAGTTGGGATTTGAACCCAGGACCTCTCAGTCCAGAGTTCAGAGTCTTAACCACTGGACTATTTGAGTTTGTTACTGACGTGTGCGGACCATATACTTATGTTACACATTAGAAAAAAAAAACACCAAAAAAAAAAAAGAAAAGTGCTGCAGTTTGAGCCCAGGACCTCTTACTCTCAAGTTGAACATCCTAATACTGAACCACTCACAGTATGGATTTGAAAAAAAAAAATCATGCACATTTTAAAAAGGAATTGCACTTGCCAAAGTCTGGCTTTTTTCATAAACTGTTGTACAAAGTTTGCACAGAAATCTTTAAAATGACTACAGTTAAATTCTGGCAGAGCTAAATATCATTTAAGAATCACACGAAGAAACATTCAATAGATAAGGTTATCAATTTACCGGAAAATATAGCCTTTATAAATATATCTTGCAAATAAAATCTTTTGGATTGCATGAAGGTAGTACGGCTTTGCAATAAATTATTATAGAAGTTTCTTCCACTGGGTATGAATATACATGTTTTAGTTCGAATCTTAAATGGGTTTACAGATCGAGAGACATTCAGCTTGTTTCAAGCATCCTTAAACTTTGAAACCTTAAAGAAAGTATGCTGTCTTAAGAATCTTGTACCGTTCTGAAAACATTAGCACATTGGTGTGCCTTGCAACAAGCGGTTGAGTACCAGTTGCAAATGGTAGACTTTATTAAGGCATTTTAGCTGGTATCCCATTTGTACAGGTACATGATGCAAACTTGGCTGTGCTCAGCAGTGCTATAAAGTTGGTGGGGGGATGGGTGAATCTGTGAATTTGTTTTTAACCCAATATGGAACTACGGGGCCACGCACTGGGGAAGTGAGATTCACTAGATCCATCCTCCGTGTCTGATCTTGTTAGGGATGTAGACCTTGGTTAGGTAGTCGCTGGAGATGGCCGTCAGGCACTGGATCTCGCCTTTTCTCTCCAGATTCATCAGAACCTGCATCTAACGAGAAAAGAAACCCCGCGCCTCAGCAGCCTGAAAACTCCTTGCTACTTACTGGGATCGGAACAGGACATAAATTAACCTGTCATTTCCCTTACCTCCTTCATCCAGTCGGGCAGATGTTTGTAATAGGGCCTCTGCATCAGCTTGTGGGCCTTGCGGAGGTCCGACTGGCTCAGTGGGATCAGGGCGTCGCGAGGTACTTGAAGCCTGTCAATGTCGGAGGGAAGGACGCCCAACCAGCGGATGCAAGGAACAGTCAGACTGTGGGACTCGTAGGACATGGACTTCAATATTCATGATTTAAAAAATAACAAAAACTTTAATTTGAATTGATGGGTAGATTTTTTCACCGGGTGTACAATGTTGAACTTTCCATTTGGAGGAGATGGAATAGGTTGGAAAACAGAAAAGTGTTTGCATTTTGAGGGTATATGCACATGCAAAATAAAAGAACAAGTCCTACATTCATTTAAAAAGGGATATCCAAGTCTCATCTAGGCATTTGGAAAAAGTGAGCTTATTTTATACTAACCGTTCTCAAGCAAGGAAAGGTTCTTTGAATCAACAGTAAGTTTTAGAATAACTGTTTTTCAAGAATGCCAATATAATAGACTCACCTTTGAACCAAACTTGTAAACACAGAGTATCTCCAGCCCTAGCGAGGAAAAATATACTACTATTGAATATGGTCATGTAATATTATATCATATGCTCTCACTACTACATATTCAATATAGAACTATTCATAGTAAATATCTTATGCTCTTCACTATTGTCAGTAGGGTTGTACTGGATGTTTGAAGCACCAGACTGCTTTCCTCATTTTGCACATTCTTAGAATTATCCTTATAAGATATTGAAAGTCCACAACGTTTTGGCAGAGTCATTACCGTGAGGGTCAGCATCCACTAGGCCTAAGATGGGGATCTGTAAGTCGTCCCACAGTCTCCTGACCATCAGTCGAGTGTTCACGTCTGGAAATCCTTTCCCCTAAATGAAACCAAACGAAGACCCAAAAGAGGCAAGACACTATCCTGGCATCGTACAATTTGTCACTGGTTTTTGGACGTAGAGTAATTGAGCATGGCTCTTTGGGTGGGGGGGTTGGTTGATGCATTCGCTGCTTGAACAAGCGGTTCCAAACCATACAACCCTTTTTCCGTGGTCAATTAGAATTGATTGTAAAGATGAAGAAAGAAATTGACTGGAGTGGGATTCGAACCTGCAATGTCCCGTTGAACCCCTTCAAATTAGACAGGCACACAGACTGAGAGACCTACAGGCAAGCACTTACAGTGATGAGGATGCAAGGCCACATGTCCCCCAACATCCCATCATCCAGCAGCTTCTGAAATGTGGCATCCTTCTCCACCACCAAGACAAACCTCGCTCGTGATCGCACATCTTGGAGAGGAATGCTCAGGGAAACCAGCAGGGCTTGTGAAAGTCTTACCCATAGGCAGATTTAAAAGTCCTGTCCTTGTGAGGACTTAAAATGTATCCCTATGAGGACTTAAAATTCCTAAGTCAGAGAAATTTCAAAATCCTATGGTCATCAAGGGACTTACAAATCTTGTCCTAATCAATACAAAATCTGTCCTTGTGAGGACTTAAAATCCTGTCCCTCTGAGGACTTAAAATTTTTATGAGGACACTATTGTCCTTAGTTCACAAGGAACAATATTTGCCAACTAGTGAGAATGTTGTGAAGCCAACTAAAGTATACTCAAGCAAACTTGGGGCTTTGTCTTGAGTTCCAGTGTCATTTATGTAAAAAGGATACTACAGATGTCCTGGACATGAGCCGGTATAAGCATGCCCTGGAAGTAAATCATATTTGAAATACGAATTCATTCCGTTCAACAGTTACAATGCAAACTTACATAATCAACCTGGTATTTGGATCGCTGATATTCATAGGTGGAATAAAGCCGCCTTGCTTACAGTTTTGGAAGTGCTACAGTCGACACGGTTTCCATTAACTTCAGTAAACTTCAGATCACCAGCAATAAACCCTTTTGAGGTGGCAAGCTAAAAAAAATACATACAACTTAAGAATGTAAATAAACTTTGATGTCCATTTTTGCGATTGATTTGTGATTAGGTTTAAGGTGCATTTGTGAGTTTCAGAGTGAGTTTTGTATCGTGAGAACAAACTGAGAAATGGATAAAAACAGTCTCTATTGGCCATTTCCAAGCCAGTCTATTTATTTGTAGAAAAATCCCTGATAGTGGGATGAACTATCTTTTATCTTCTTCTTTAAATCTCTATCATAGTACTTACCACGTGCAGGCTTCGCCTCGGCACATTTAACATGCAGCAGATGTTCTTTAAAATGTCATCCAGTGTTGACTGGCTCCCAAACAACTCGGTGTCTTTGTAATACAAGTCCCTGTCATGCATGACGCAAATGTAAACCTCAATTTAGTAGTGGTGTGAATAACCCCGTTTTATCTGACATGGCCTTTGACCTGATGTCCGACCCTATGTCAGGTTTGTCTTGGCATGACACCAATTAGAATCGTTATTCCCCTTGGGACACTGGCCCATCTCGGCTAGGCTTCCCGATTTTATCTCAGCACCCATCGACAAACCATGGGTGCAGACAGGAAATATACTTTGCTTGGGAACAAAGCACAGGTCCAGCAGTTGAATTTCGACATCCAATCTTTCCATCACAAAAACAGACTCTGGTCACTAACGTTAGTTCTCCTCTTTTATGGATAAGGGAAGTTGTGCAAAATTACTGGAGTACAAGCATTCCACCTTTTCCTCAGTAGCAACAAGAGGTCAAATACTTTAAAATACGAGTGCTGACCTATGACTTTGTCTTTTCTTGGAGAGCAGGAGCGGGGAATGAGGAGAAGGGATTTCACACGAAAATAGAATTTACGCTCACCGTTTTGTTGAGAATGTATTACTCTGAACAAGTTTGTAGCACATGGCTATAACTCTCAAAGTAATCCCTGTAAGTTAATAACCAAGAAAATAAAATTATGAAGACCAACAGCTCAAATTATATGCTTGGCCTGAATATATGTGGCATCCATGTTTCAACAATTATCCAACAAAATAAAGATTTGCCCATCAACTGCAGCAAATTTATTTGATGCCATCATACACATGTCTAAAAATGTCCTATTCAGTCCTAGACTAACAAGAACAGAGTTAGCCTTGAGATTATGGCGCTTGAGAGAGAAAGTGAAATTAGAAAAGAATATGCAGTTTTTTCCCTTGGACTCAATGACATGAATCAAGGCAGATGTTCTGAGTTACACACTGTTACTGACCAAACTTCTTTACTGAGTTGACTGCGTCAAATCTAACTTCTGTGAGGGCTGGTTTGCCTCTCATCTCTAAGCCAACATCATCTGTGAATCTAAAATCAACAGACAAAACAATCAACCATGCTGAAATCATCTTTATGTTTGTTTTCACGTCTTAAGAAGGTATCCTTTGATGTGCCAGTGCTTATGGTTAATTAAGTCTTGGACATTTTGTTTTCATTTTCGATAAATTTTTTTTGCATGTTGAAAGGCTGTTTAATCATAACTATAATTCCATCAAATAACTTACGTCAAGAGGATTTTGTTCTTTATTCTTCAACAAACCAAGTTCTTGAAGCAAATGCAAAACACTGTATGCCTGAACATAAATTACAAGGATACACGTCGTAATTTATAAGTACTTACTGTACATTATCCCATCTACTCGTGCTGTTGTACGTCAGAATGGGTGGTTGTTGATGAGATATCCTGGTCAAAATGTCCTCAATAACACGTTCTATTCGCCTCAAAATGTCATCTCTGCAAAAGGTAACTCAAAATAGGTAACACGTGACAGATGTTGTCTGCATTCATTCTGACATTTCACCAAGTTCACAACGAGATGAGAGCGAGTGCTATAAACAGAATTGCATAGAACATTTTTCGTTTTTGTATTTTTTCGGCCTATTCTGTTTTAAGGTTGACTTGTGTGGGAAAAATCTATTACTTTCTGACACGGAGATGAACACGTTTACAATTTTGTTGCTCGATAAAAACCACAACCTGACCNCCTAATTGTTTACCTTGGAACTCCCTGATTGTTTACCTTGGAACTCCCTGATTTCTTGTTGTCAAAGGCTCACGGCTATCCTCACAACTTCTGTCAGAAAAGCATCTTCTTTTAATCTGCTTGAGCCTCTTCTCTCGCAGCAAAATCTCTTGCAATTCTGTCAATTTATCCCAATTACTGGGGCAACGTTCAATGCCGGCGGCCATTTTTATTTTGTCGTCTGCTCGCTAAAATAAATGACGTCATAAAAGTTTTCGAAGAGTTCGAATTCATTTTTAAAACTTGGGGGTAAGTCAAATGTAAGGTTCAATAAAACACCATAAATATGATCCGTTAAATTGAATTCACAAGGCGAAAAATTAGAGCAAGGGATTCTCTAAATTTGTATAGCCGTGTTAAATACTTTTTGTTATTATTATTTCTATTGAATTGAAAAACCTCCACCCTTCAAATTTGTCATGAAGAACACCCCCTCATTTGGGTTGTGGAAGAACCTGTTGATAAGAAGACAGAGGGCGCTATTTCATTTTAATGGTACTTTTTTCAAACAACTAAAATTGAGGGCGCTATAACATGTAAACGGTCTTGATTTCGGTTTGTCGGACTGCATAAAACAGTTTTTTTTTAAAGAGGGCGCTACATCACTTTAACGGTTCACAAAAGTACTCGGAGCGGCTGGACAATTTCCGTAGCCTGAAAACTTCGAATAAAGTTCTTTCAGCGTAACGAAGTAAAATTCACTTTTTAAAACACCAATGTCGGTGAACTATTTAGACTGGCGACAAAGTGACGCATTCCTCCACCTCGCCAGTGTGGAGAGTGGTTCATGTTTCTTTCATTGCCCAAGGTCTGCGTCACGAACAATCAAGAAATTATTCTCAAAACATAACAGCCGTTTAGTCTCTGGTATCAGAACAACACTTGAGGCACGGCATCAGTGTGAAACCTGGAAAATCTGAAATGTTTTCATTGAGACATCGGGTGTTAGCAAACAGCTACGGGCGGTATTGTTTTGGTAATAACTTTCGGAGCCTGGAGAAAGAAACACAGTAATGTGGCTGAACTTTCCCGAACAACCCGGTTGCAAGCTGCTCAAACTAGAATGTGATTTAATTGTCAATAAATCTCGTGCACATAGATCGGCTGGTCCCAATACTTAATTTCATCTTTGTTCGATTTAGTTTACATTTAGGTTGTTTGCTGTTCGTTAGTGGCTTACAGCGCATCGTGTTTAAAGCAGGAATAGGATTTACAATAACTGGACAATACTGAAAAATACGACAAGTCACCATGCATCATGCCTTTTCTTAAGACATAAAGACGGTCAGTCCTTTTTAATTTGCTCAATCTTCAACTGTCCTGAGACAATCCTTATTTATATCCCAAATCTGTGGTGATTGGGGGTGCCGATCCTGTGCTGTGCATTGTTTTGACGGTTGTCAGTATCAATCTCGCAGGCTCAAATTCACCTCAAGCCAGCCTTGTTCAATGCCCTCAAGGACATCAAGATTTTGCTTCGAAGAGACCTTGAGATTTTCCCATTTCTGTCACTTTTATGGTTGGAAACACCGCATTAATCATAATCTTACTGTGTTGACAAATCCACGTAGAAAAATCACTCTGCTAATAATTATTTGGTTGGAGTAAAATAGAGTATTAAACCCGTCCCCTTGGACAAACAATCACCAAACGGGTAAAGTGCACATTAATCATTGTCTCCACGGTGTCTGACTGATGCGGCGGTAATACGAAAATAATACGGGTAAAGTAAACACCGGCGCGTTTAGCGTGAAAACATCGGCAATGACCCCGGCGGAAAGAGTGCACTCTTCGACAGAGTCCCATCTCCAAAGTACGGGTGGCTCAGAAACAGTGCCCCGCTGCGCCGGCAGCCAATTTACGGACGATGACGCATGGTAGAAAGTGCTAATGGGCGAGGCGAAATAAAGTGTCAAAAAGTGCACCGTTAAATTCATATAGATATTGTTTTAAAACCGCCAAAGTTGATTTGTAGAGCTACGTTAATTTTGAAGGAAAGGCATCTCAATTTTGGGTATATTACAGAGCACGTAAAGAGTAACATGTTAGGTGTATAATACACGCAACTCATAGTACATGGAGACCGGTTATTTCAAGACTTAAGGATTCATAAGGCAACAGTTTAGGATGGGGTAGTGATATTTGTAAAACGGAATTTGCTCTTTCAACTACTCGTATATATCTGAAATAAAGCAATAACTGTAATCAAAAAGAGTTTGAAGTAATGTAAAGAGTGTTGGTTAAAGCAAATTGAAATACAATCCTAATTCTTCAATCGGTACAAGTTAGTAGCCGAAGAAATTCTTGTAAGTATCGAACTTATTATTTTAGAATTGCAAACACTGCTTTGAAATGGCATTTTAAAAACGCACGGAAGAATGAAAGGACCGCCGAGTACATTTTTTTCCAGGGTTTTTTTTCCCCACAAAAGCTGGTCGCTTGGTTGTGGCCCAGCAGTTGGTGGCCCGTACTGACAGGTCACCCGATCACCCGAGTACTGACCCAACAAACCGCGACACATAAAACGCATGTTGTGTTTCATAACGCATTTCACCGCAGCCGAACGAGGGACAAAATACTTCGGATGGCCAGCGGCCGTCCCAAACACCAACACTGCAGATAGAGGGTCGGGTGGATGTGTGTGTGTGGGGGGGGGGAGACTTCCCCGCATGCCCGAAGGTCCTTTGACCCTTTTTCTCAAACCCAGCAGGCGTTGCAACCGGAGGGAGAGAGGAGGTTGAAGATGGGCCTCCTCTTTGTCCTTGATTGCGGGTTGTGGGATGAACGAAATACAGCCAGAGTGTGGAAAGTTCGGAGAAAGGAGGCTACGTTGCTTCATAATTGTAGGCTTGCGGTTTGCATTTCCCCGCCTAGTCAAGACAATCCGTAAAACACAAGCCACGGCTTTATTACACATACATGATGTTCCAGAAATCCACAATCTTGTCTTGTATGCCAGAAAATTTTCAGAACGGTGTCTTCCAGCTGAACAGCGCTGCAATTGTTGACTTCTCACAAAGAAACTGGCAACCAAATTCCAGTTTTAGGCTGAAGGATGAAAACACTTGTCTCTAAATTTCCAAGTTCATGTGCCTCGTCAGGAAACGATATTTTAAAATGCACGATAATAGCCAATCTGCCATGGAGGGGTCTAATCCGTTGAAAAGGGAAGGAAGCTTCGGGCAGATATTTTTGGCGCCCAAACGCGGACAGGTTACCGTTGTCAGATGTTCCTTGTCGTCTGCTCAGGCCGATTCAAGTTTGTCGCAGCAGGGACTAGCGCCGACACATGCGGGAGAGATGTTAATTTTACCGCCACTTGTAGCCGGAGGGATGTTGATACGCATAACAAAAAAATAGGTTGCCTATTTGTCGGCAGTATAACAACGTATATTTTTGGCGGTGCTCCGGGCATAACATGTTGGTCAAATATTGTTGCAAGTTATGTTCAAAAAGAAATTCTGCCGCATAGTTGCGTCATTGCGTATCATGTAAGGTATTGACGATTTTTTCTTTGTAGACACACAGTAAAAATGACAGTTGTCGAGTTGTTAAAGTTTTGTTTTGAGCAATTGTTTTGTCTTTAATAATATAACTCACGTTATGGACATATAATAGAATAACAACAGCAAACACTTTACAAGCTTGGAATTTGACTAGACTATTGAGCAGCTTTACAACAAATACAATGATTACATTCTCCATTTCCGAAGACAGGTGAATAAAAGTAAAATTGACATTTTGGTATAGCAGGGTTCCAAATGCGCTTGTCTGCCTAACCACCTCACTTTATTGTAGTATTGACCTAAACGGTACATTGAACGTTAGTGCAAGCGGACACACTGCCCAAACTATAGTGTTAAAATCAACACTTTTGGTGTTATCAGATGACCACACCCTAAGGTGTTACTTTAACACCACTGGTGTTACTTAGCACACCTGTAACTGTTACAATACACTGGAGGGTGTTAAAAGTAACACCAAACAACATCAAAATATGAACATCAGTGAAAAGTGTTCTGATAACACCGGGGTGTTAAATTTAATTAACACCCCAGTTTTTGCAGTGTAACCTTTTTCCAGCTAATCTTTAAAAAAAAGGTTTAAGAGGGATTTCAAGCCTCATGATTGATGCCTACTTTTGTGGAGTGAACTAGGCCGAGATCGGAGTGTTAGCTTGCTGGAATTAGGAAAAGAGATGGCACTCTCCTTGCAAATCTGTTTGCTTAGAGCTAAGGAGTGTAATGTCCCATTTATTGGCATGTCAAAACAGTGCAAAACGGGATTTCGAGTGTTTTGAGTTTTGCATTCGCGAAAATGGAAGGCGGCAACTGTTTCTCCTGAAACACTTGCTGCCAGCGCGATTGTCACACTCTTTCTTCCAAATATTTTGTTTGTTCAGCAAACATTGTGCAAAATATGAATACACCTGATAAAAATAAGAAAATTATATCCTATTCTGTTTGGGCTTTGTTTCCTCTGCACCACAATCTGTACTCGCAGTGCCTCATTTTGCCCAAACCAGCACAGTTTACACCCGATTGTACATCACTCTTCCTTGCTACGAAATATTATCGTCAACAGAATTCCAGAAAGTCGAAGGCTTTTACGAAATTAAGTATAATATGTAAGAAATAGGTAGACAACAGATTAATGCCATTGATTACTATATACTATCACAATAGCGTAGCGACGAATATGAAGAACGTTTTAAGCGAACAATTGAGCATTTTTTCATTTTAAACTTTGGTGGGAAAAGAAGACGACTATGGAATTTTCTTTATATACACTTTTCTCCCCCCTCTCTACACGCTCACCTGTAAAAGTTTTTTCCCCTTGGTAAAAAAAGAGTACGTTTTTGAAACATTTGGAAAAAGCTTTCAAAGTGAGTGAACTTTCATGAACAAATGTACACGAACTCATTAACAAAAACAATGACAGATTTTTTCCCTATCTTTTTCTTGGAATAAAAACGTTCTCCAATTAAGTGATTCTCGGGAGCATCTGCTGCGGGAACGAAACTTGCATTTACATGAAATAAATTATATATACAACAAATCCATTAACTTTACACGAGTCCATCCAGTATCGATAGGGGTGAGTGTCCTTTTCAAGTTTGATGATGCTAGATCTGTTGCCAGGCAACCACATATGAAGGAGAATGGGAGGTCGGAAGTACGAATACGTGAATACTTTGCTATACAAATTTTTCCATTTTTTAAATTGGAGTCATTGTTTTTGATACCACCTCATTTCCCCCAAATAATCTGGTTTTACGGACCAATGTCGAGCAGACTGCTTTCTTCTACACAAGTTTAGGAGTCATTCATCTTTGGTATCAAGTTGTCTTACAAGTTACAGCTTGTCACTGGTGGATGCTCAAACGACGTTTTCGCTGATCATTTCAGTTCTCAGTCAGCTCCTTCGACACATCGCTCTCCTACTGAAAGAACATCGGAGATCATATCCACCGAAAGCACTCGTTGGAGCCGAATCATGATCCATTAGGAACGCAGCCCAGCAACGCACCTGCGTACAGCCGTGACCTCATCGGCCATTTCTGTGGGACAAAAAGGGAATAGATATGAGAAAAATAAATCAAAATGATAAATCAGAAAAGAAATGCAAGCTCAACATGAAAAAGCCACGACCGATAGATAACACGAACATTGTGATCTGTGTTTCTGTTGGTAAGAACTCGAAAGGTCAAAGGTCCTTCAACAAGATAATTCTTCGAAATTATCGTATCAGCCACTGGACCAATCAGCATTCTCTACACATGGAGTTAAACAGCTGCCCAGAAAGTTCCCTGTGGAGTCTAACCGCTGGATGTCTCACCTACGAAGGCCAAGACAGGACAGGTGTGATAACGAGGAAAATACTTGGATTTTCGTGTCAACATGTTAAAAACGTGTAACAGGAGACAACAGTCCAGCTACGAAAATGTCGAAGAAGGATGTTGTCCGAGACACCAACAAAGCTCAAACCTCAACTGAAGCGTTGGCAGCATGTTTCGGGCGTCAACAAAACTGAACCAGATCCATCCCTCGACTATACAAACAACACACTACGTGTATTTTAATTTTATTTTATGTGTTTTCAGACCCCGAACAAAAATTACTGTGGAGAACCACTTCTTGCAAATATTGGCAGCACCTTGTTACGAAAATATTGACGAATAGTCCTCGTTCGGAGCATCTACAGGATAAACCACTCAAGCAAATTAATTTAGTAATGCATACACGCTTGTAACTATAGCTTTGTGACACAAGAGACAAAATCAGAAACGAAAAATTATACACTTTTCCAGACTAACTACACAAAATTTGATAATGGTTTGATTTCCCTTGAGCTTTCTGTTCTGTACATAAACGACTCGTGGAAGGTGATGAGTCTATCTACTCCAATGCATCATTGCATCAATAGGCCTACACCATGTTGTAAGAAAGGATGGAAAGTGTTGGTCTCCTAATGGCAAAAGCAGGAACCAATAGATTTTGGTAGCCGTAACGTGTAAGGATAGAAAAGCCAGCCTGTCGGCTAAGGGAGCAATTTCATGCACTTACACTGATGAAAGAAAGTAACACTGTATTTCACACCTTACGTGTTTGATAAAGTAGACAAGATGTAAGTGTTTCTGTCAATTAGGAAGATAAAATGGGAGACTGAAATGTTTATAACAAACTTGTTTGGTGCTTCAAATAAATCCACACTTGCTGTGGTGCTTACTGCTTGGTTGTCACTGGCAAATTGCTGTTTTGGAACCATGAACACAGGAGCACAATATTTCATTTCCTCCCGTTATTAATTGTCACTAATTGCTGTGCTTTACCGGGGAACGGACGCGCACCGAAGCTGGCCCGCAATGTGACAAACTTCGCCGTCTTTCACTCGCTAAGCATCGTTAAGGGAAAGAGGCGAGGATCTCGACGTTAACGACGCGAGACTGGCGTCGGAGTTTTTTGCTGCGGCATTTCAACGAGGTCGTGACGAGCATGGCGTGACTGGTGGATGGATGGGCGCCGCTCTGGGATGGGTGAGGGTCGCTGCCCGCGCTGGGAGTCACAGAGTTTGGTGGCATGAAGCACCTCACTTGCGCTTGTTATACAATCTTTTCCAGTTTCCAGTCCCAATGGTAGCCACGGTATGAACTTTATATTGTTTTTCCTTCCATATTACGGATACCCTCCCTCGAAACGAGCTCTTGTTACAGAAAAAAAATCGATAGCACAAAATAAGGGACTGCTGTTGAGAATTAAAAACAAATTATGGATATGACAAGGCTGCAACAACACCAACTGCACCAACTGAAGGAAAGGGGGACATCTATACACGTTTTAAATGAAGACTGATAGAAAGGAACGTTGGTGTTAAAACAGGATGATCGCAATGTATTTCGGTAGTACAGCCGAACACAGATATAAACCAATCCCAATATTGCTCATGTCCGGATTACTTGGCTACGACTGCAAGTAGTACATAAGTCAATGGGAGACAGCTGCAGCCGCTACGGATAGCCGCTTCCTTTGGCGCATGCCATGTATTCGGTAGAAGCCAAGGTATAAAATTGTTTCTAAATAATCAATGCGCCACACCTTTGCTCAAGGTAAAACTCCCGGTCGGCACTTGTGGCGAAGAAATAGTTTAATTAAGGGCAAAAACTTAAGTTAGCCAGGATTTAAGGGGAAAACCCGACGGCTTCTCGCGGCTTGATAACATCACCGTTTCCATTTTGTCAACATGTCACTAATATTTTGTAAACGGTTTGTGTTCCTCCTGCGATTTGATATTGTCTTTTCCTGGACGCGGAGGGATATATCCGCTGACGGATAACTTTCAGCCCACCTATCTAAAGCGAACGGGAGACACATCACCCGACTGCTAGGTAGACGCCGTTCTAGTCGTTCCACTGTGGACATAAGACCCTTTTTTGAGTGAAAATAGTTTATGCACCTGCACTCGAAATGGGAGTTTTTAAAGGTTTGGTTCAGAAGTTGTCTCTCAGACTTTTCTGAAGATTTCAATGTCAGATCCATAAAAAAATGTTCATCTATCAGTTGCCAGTTTTGTTAGAAGCTCATGCAAGCATATAATTATGTAGGAGGTTTTATTATAGTATTCGCCGAATTCGAATACTTTTCCCGCCCCTCCACTCTCAAGTCACTTGAGGTGTGACTTGGGAATATGATTAATATTTTCAGTGATCAAGGGTCGGAGTTAAAGTTTTTTTTTTTATTTCGTGCTATTGGTGGAGTAAAAACTAATGCAAGTCCATTGCAGGAAATAGGAACGTACAAATTCTCAAAATTTCCCTTGCAGCAGAGCCGAAATGGAAATTCATCAGAAAATATATCGGCATGGTTGACTTTTGGGAAAAAAGTAATGGTGAATGTTTTGAGCCCTCAGTGGAGATCAAAGTCGTAATCATCGAGGTCATGCACCCGTCCCGACCCTTAGGAGTATCGATCATTAATATTCTACGTTTGAAGTCAGCATCAATGGTATCGCGTCGAGGCCAAATGACGCATGTAATGCCCCGGTATCGATCATTAATCACCATTTCAGTGAATGTCGATGGACGACTGGACGTTAGCCGGATTTTCAAGTGGCGGATCCGGTGTCATTTATCACCCTACTTAAGGCCCGACGTGAGTATCGATTAAACTACGTTTCGGTCTGCAGCCGCAAGCTGCATGAATGTGGTACTTTTGGGGAGTTTCGAATTGGAACGTTTGGAGAAATTCTTCTTCTCCTTTGTGTGAGTCTTTCAGAGCTAATTAACTTGCAGACAAGGGATAGAAAATAAGCACAGTATCGTTAAAAGTGACGTACACAAAATGAACGTTTAATTATTGTTTTGAAGCGTCCGAATTTAATCAAAACTCATCTGCAAGTTTTCACCCTTTGAAGGAAGTGCAAACATTTGGCTACAAGTTTTAAGATTGCAACAAATCACTACAAGTGCACAGCTTCTCTGAACGATTTGAGGAGCGAGAATAGTGGGAGGTACGCTCATTTTACCCCGTCGGCGGGTCAAGAACCGCCGTTGCCCCCGGTTCCAGTGACGGGGGTAAAGGACGACGGGGCGCCCATGTTCCGATCCGCCCGCGCCGTGGCCAACTGCGGGCGCCGGGCCTTAATGCTCGGCTGTCCCGCGCAATTAGGTCGGGCTCGCTTGCTGAGAGACACGCAGTTGACATTTTTGGTGGGTCTGCTATTATGGGCCTGCATGGATTGTGTGACTACGCAACTGGTTTATTGACCCCAAAGGCTGAGACATCCCAAGGTGCTGGAGGATCTACAGGGAGTTCGAACTCTACCGAGCGATCAAAGAATGATGCAGATTCGAAATTGCAGTGAACAACTTGAGACGCAGAGGCCAAAGTCCCAAGCTCAAAAACAATGCGAAATCTTCATTTTTATCAAAACTAGATTCGTTTGCATTTTTTTCTAATCATTTTTCTCATCATTACTTTCCCCATAAAAATCCACCCTCTGTGTTCCGAGTAAGTAATTTCTGGCCTCTGCCGAATCTTTGCAGAATGTGAACAATCATTTTGTTCTCGTCGTTCAAATGTTTAGACGTTCACGGGCTTTCCACAACTTATTTGCCCTCAGTGACATTTGATAAGATTTTCGGCAATTATAACGCGATGATATGACGAGATGGGAAAGTTCCACTTGACTCCATATCGCCACGACGAGGCGGCTCGATATCCCTTCTGACCAGTGACTTTCCTTGATTTACGCACGGTATGTCAAACCCACTCTGAAAACGTCATAAATTCACGACGTCTCCCTTCTGCCATCGCCTGGATATCTGGCCATAAAAGTGTCTTCTCGGAGGTGATTACGACCCAACGAATCCGTCGTTTCCGAACTGTGACTCCCTGGCTCTTTGACACGATCTCGACTACAAAAGAGCGTGAGAGTTTCCGGGATGGATAGATTGAGTGGTCAAAGTTGAACTAGTCTTCCGATAAATATTCTTAATTGCTTCCAGGTGAAACAATGTCAGCGCAGGACGCTAATGAACTCCAAATTCAATGCTTCTTTTCACAATCAGCCATCGTGTTTCAATCTTGCATTTTAGGTCTTGAAGCTCACCACGAATGAAGTTGCTCACAAGGACAGAGTTAACAGGATAATTCTTTATTTGAACCATTCATGTCCCGCCCCCCAAAAAAAACCTGCAGAAGAAACATTTCGTGGCGAATATCACGTGTTTTTTAATAGACATGCAACACTTTAACACCTTTTTCCACTGACCAAAATACAAGAGAAACGCGCACTGAAGCGCTTAACTGTTTTTTCTTCCTTCACAAGATGGACTTTCTGAAGATGTCGTAAATGGAAGACAGCTTGGGTAAAAAGGTACCGCAGTTGCATTTAAGACCTGTCTCCAGGTCTCTGGAATCGAGTTGTCACTCGACGCCCCCGAACAGGTCTGAACTAGGTCTGAAACGACGCGTGACGCACCTCACAGAAACTCCACAAAACCAGGAGAATTTTTTGGACGCTACACACTAGTACCGCTATCCCCTGACCGCATCGCCGACT